TCCTGGTCATCCTGGTCATCCTGGTCATCCTGGTCATCCTGGTCATCCTGGTCATCCTGGTCTTCCTGGTCATCCTGGTCTTCCTGGTCTTCCTCATCTTCCTCATCTTCCTGGAGTTCTTCATCCGAGCCGCCGTATTGTACTTCGGAGCCTTCTTTAGCCCCTGCTTCAAGTAGCACTGACACAACCTTCTCCTGCCTTAATCTTCGCGCTACTTGCAACGGGGTTTCGCTTCGACCCTCGTAATCCCACGCACAGTCCATGTCCGCCCCAAGCTTTAACAATAGAAGGACGATGGAATCATGTCCTGATCTTGCTGCATCAAATAAAGCACCATCGAGGTCATCGTTGTTGAGCTTCCCAATGTCCCACAGCATTTCCACAATCCCTGCATGGCCTTTTTCAATAGCGAGAGTGAAAGCACGAACGAGGTCTTTCTTTTTAAGCCTCCCGCTATCCCACATTATCTGCACGATCCCCGCATGCTCGTTTTCAACAGCGATTCTGAACTCGTACCACCGTGGGGCTGCAGAATAATCCTCGACCATTGTTTTGACAACACTTTCCAGACCTCTCGCAGCGGCCGCTGCGAGTGCTGTCTCGAAATCTTCCCAGTCGCCTTGTACATGGTCTTCGTCTATCACCTTAGCGCCACGCTGGAGGAGTAGTAATGCAACCTTCTCACGGCTACCTTCACAAGCAGCCATGAGCGGCTGTGCAAAATACCTTGGGCTAATGTTCACGAAATCTGAGCACTGATCGATGAGAAGCTCGACAAGTCCTAAGTGCCCATTGTAGCAAGCTCTGGCGAATGCTTCAGGGCCCCATTCGTTCCACGGATTCATCTCACCGTACTCAAGAAGCAGTTTCACCGCTTCTTCGTCTCCGTGATCGCAGGGAAGGTAGAAATGCTGGTCCTCGACCTCAACGCCCTTCTCCAACAAAAACCGCATGGTCTCCAGATGTCCTCTTTCGCTCGCAGCCCTGAGTGGCTCCCCAGAGCCGTACTCCATAACTGTATCTTCGTCACCCTCAATGGTTATGCCCTTTTCCTTGCCATCTTCGAGGATACGCTCGAGGCAGCGAATGCTAAGACCAGCATTGCATGCATGCCAAAATGGAGAGTCGTGTTTCTCGTGTTTACCGTACTGGTGGAGATAAGTCCAGTTCTTGTAGTAGGTCTTGTCGAAATCCATCAAGAAGTCTACGGTCATCTCAAAAACCGTTTCATTCTGCTTTTCTGTAGCAGCGGCATTCTCCATCCAGTTCTTGGCGCTGTATTCAGCGAATGGAAACATGGCCTTGAACTCGTTGACATCGTGCAGATCAGGTTCCACATGCCGAAGGTAAGACAAGCACACTTTTGCGATCAAGGTACGAGCCATCATTTCGTTAAAGTCCTGGGAATGCTCAGGACTTGAGACCAGATACTCCTTGACGGAGAAGTGTGCTAAGTGAAGCTCCGTCGTTTGATCATCTTCTTTGACGACAAATTTCGTGAGGCTGGAACAGTAGCGCGCAATCTCCGTTGGTTCTGGCATCCGATCAAGAGGATCAAAGGACGGTGTCGGTTTGTCGAGATTTACGGCAATGGCATCAACCAGTTCCTCGACTCCAAGCGGTCTCCCGCTGTAGGTTAGCAACTGGAGAACTCTGATGGTTTTTGATCTGTAACCGATTGGAATTCGATCCATGATTCTTGAGTAGGTTTCATTCAAGTCCTTCGGTAAATTTTCCAGTGCATTGTACAGAGACTCACGGTCGATGCAAACTTCCAAGTCTCTTATTTGGCACGCAACGTATCGGAACCTGAGATTATTAGCTCCTGTGGTAACGTAGAGTGAGCAGTTACTTACATGCCACTTGCCTTCTTCAGAACCTTTGTCTTAATATTTTGCTGGACTTCTGGCATCTTTCTCCACCTCTTCAGCTCATCACTATGCGTTATTTTGGCTTCGACATAGGCCTTGATGTCCATCTCCAGGCCCTTGCCCTCAATTGAGATGAATTCTCCTTCATCAGACAAGTCCTTGAACCCGGACCGGATATCATCTTCTTCGCGACTTGTTACCAAGAAATGGAGATTGTCGAGATTCGACGACACCATGGTTTTGATCCAAGCGATGAGCCCTTGTGTGTTGTCCGAATCTTTCCTTGTCGAACACTCATCCAGAGCGTCAATCACAACCCAGACTTCTTGTCCCAGCTTCAGCATGTTCGAGAACGCTATCGAAAGCTCTCTGGTGCTGGGTTGTCGAGGATTCCTCGGTGAGCCCTTCTCGCAAGAAGCATAAAGCTGGTCCAGTACTTGTTTCGAGGCTTCATGCTTCGAACATAGTTGCCAGAGCAAGACTCGCAACATACTGTCAAGTGAAAGCTTTTCATGCTCTTGGAATGTGAAGTAGAAATAGAGACATATGCGAGACTCGCTGAGAGACTCGATAATGGTAGAACTGAGAACCGTTTTGCCACACCCGGGGAGGCCATATAGCCATAGGAAAGAGTGAGGCTGCACCATCCACTCAGCGAATCGCGGGTCCTGTTGTAAAAGCCAACTGCCTGAGCCAGTGAAATACTGATTTCGAGCACTAAGGTGGTTGGTCGAAGGGTCGCATGGTCTGAGCCAGATTTTCAGAAGAGAATATTTCTGATCTGTGTCTATGTCCTTCACTGTCGACTGAATTGCAGTAGTGACGTTCTTGACTTCACCGATACTTTCTTCAACTACATGGGGATCAGCTATCTAATTCGACGCATGCGAAAGCCATACGAGCAGACTAACTGTTCTTAATGCTGTCGACCAGCTTTTGCTGAGCCTCAAGCCTGGTAGGTGCAATCTCCAAAAGCAGCTCCTTCGCGTATGCGGCAGCCGACATGGCGGCATAACCGTGCCATGCGTCGTTCTTGTGTGAATCGGAGTAGTCGCAGATTCCACGAACGACTAAGCATGGGAAGTTGTTCATCAGGCCTGCCGCTTCCATCTCAAAGCAAAGCACCCCATTCTCGCGAGCCAGTTTGTCCCGTATCAACGCATCCTTCATGAGCGAATTGGCCGAAGCAATGATTCCTTGAAACACGGTGGGGTTGTCGTCTCGTTCGCTTCGGTCCGGCCGGCCGACCAGATTGTCAGAGTCAAAACCGCATACGGCGATGCAGCTTTGACGTGGCTGTCCTTCGTCGTTTGGATGGACGAACCCAGACGCGTAAAGTATGTCGCTCTCTGGGTCCGGTTGTCCATACTTCTTGCGCAACCGTTTGTTCTTGGTAAGGACCGCGTCTATGCGTTCAGCGATCCCATTCCCATCGCTTTCGAACTTGCTCGCCAAGCCCTGAACAGCTGCGAGAAGAACAGTGGGTGTATGGTTGAGGTGGCCGGTGTGTTGGAACTTCCTCTCCTGGATGGTTTTTCCGAAATCATATTGGAAGACGCCGCCAGAAAGGCCTGCAGGCGTGCTGACGACGACATCTCCCAGCCGGATGTCATGTGCTGTACTCGGAGCTCCGCCACCGATCCCTACCATCAATCCGATGCGAACGTTTGGGAACGAGTGGACCATGTCTCGCGCCACGCTCGTCGCAGAGCTTGTGCCGTACAATCCAGCGGGCAAAACTGCGATAACGACATTATGGCCCGCCATCTTCCCAAGAACGTAGTGGTTGGTGTCATTCTTTTCAACCTTGTTGGGGCGTCCGTGGATTTCGTCCAGAAATTGACGTGCAGCCGTCTCCTCGGTCTGGAGGGCACAAATCCACCCGACGGTGTATTGGCCGTTGGGAAGGGCCATGGCACTTAAAAATGAAGAGATCAAAGATCAAAGGAAAACAATCTTTAGTGATGAGTTCTGAAATTTCCCCTCACAGGAGGTAAATCTTTATATATCTCGCTGTAGAGGTTCTCGTTTTCTCACGGATAGGCAACAGCGCAAAACGGAGCCAAGCGCTCAGCTTCTTGTGTGCAGTCCCGTTTTGAAGCCGACAGCTGGCGTGGAGACTATTATCATGGATTTCAAGGGTCTTGGTGCTGCTTGATAGGTCGGAATTGTGCGGCTGAGTGCCAGCGCGAAGTTGCTTTTTCTAGAATCCGTAATTCCAACCGATCGTACCGCTTAAGACAAGCACGAGCCTTCGATTCTTGCCTATCATATACTAGATCAAAGACACGAAGCCCGCGCTAGCATTACACTGCAGAATGAGGCTGTTCATACCTACCTGCATGCAGGAGCAACTACTTCGCGCTAACATTCAGCCGCACGACAGGACTGCACTGGATAGACGACATCACGCGCATTTCCATTAGCCACTTTATGCGATTGTATGTATATACATATAAATATAAACACGCACATACACACACACATATATATATATGATTTGAAAAGTGTTATAGAAATATTCGACTACGACCTCCCACTCTCGGTAGGTATGAGAATGCTCCACATAACAACGATCCCAGCTGCTCACCGCCGTGTAGCCGAGAACACGTGTTGACCAGAGTGTGGAACGCGCGGAGGTCGCTCCGGCTACTCCCGCCTGCATCGAGCAATGGATGGGCATCCTACGTCGCAAGTCACGGTGCGCGTGGCCAACATTCAGCAGCCGCGAGGAGCGCCCGCCCGCTTATCAATTTTGCACGCAGTCTATTCCACCACCACCAAGGCTATGCCGTGCACCATGACCAGCGCCACGGGCTGGGCGGTTTGAAGTCGAAAGCATCCAGTAGATAGACTAAAACGGGATATTGTACAAATGGGGCTTGGCGTGTGTGAGGTCTAATGTAAATAGTCTCTTAACTGACTCTCACATAGAAAATCCACAAGTTTAAACAGCAAGTTCATTCATTAAATATACCTTACACTCCTTACACTTGAAGCCTACTACGCACGGGCAAAAAAAAAAAAGAAAAAAAAATGAAAAAACGTACAACAGCCGGGATTCCCCAATGGTCACCCACTTGAGTACTAATCGGCCGGTTCGCAGCTTAAGTACGGCTGAGCGGACGGGAAGCCCTGTATTCTGCGACCTATGGTCGTACGTGAGAGAACGAGTTGTTAACAGCGCTTATGACCTCCAGTCAACAAGCAGTCGCCTGCTGCGCAAGCCCGCACCTGCATTCTCGGCTCAACTGTCCACACAAAGAATTTACATCAACGCAATGGTTTACAGGGAACAGTGTGCGAATAACGGCATTGGCATCACCGACCTACTTGGTTGAGCCCTAATGCCATTGTTCATATATACTACGAGTGCTGCACCTCGAGGTCAATGTTCGATCCTCCGTTATGTCCACGCCTATCATCTCGCTGACGCCAATAAAAATAGAATGCAAAAGCTAAAAATGTCGATGGCACAGTCAAGACCACCCAGACCCAGGCTCTGTTTACATCTGCAAGCCAAATGTTCTCCTGGAAGAAGGGCATAGAGAGCAATGCCTACAATGTTAGCGTTGCATTCATGACGAAGGCGTCAATGACTTACAGCATATGTGGCTCCGGGGAGGAAGAACATCGTGACAACGGCAATCTAAATAAAATGAGTTTAAGCAAAGCATACGAATAAGCCAAACGTACTGTCTTCATGGCAACGCTATCTCTTTTCATTGCCACAGCTAATTTTTGAGACTCGTTCGCCATCAGCCTTGAGGTCCTGGCTTCGTCTTCGGTTGCACGCAAAATTTCTTGCATTGCCTGGCCGTTGGCAATTTGCAGCCGATCACTTGTGATCTGCATGCGATTGAAGAGCTGTTTCTCGTCAGAAATTTAGGAAGTTGGCGGGTATGGGAGTCAACCGTTGGCGCTTACCAAAGCCAGGATGTTTTGGATTTTCTTTTCCAACTCTTGTGCAAAGTCGTTTGTAGCCTCGACTTGGGAGATAATTTGTTCAAGGCCCCCGACGCTATGTCCTATGTTTTTAGGCTCCTTGTGGCCATGTCTGATTATCTCTTCATGACCTTTAAGCGCTTTCGTGGTCCTTATGAGAGAATTTAGTTCCGAGCGATATCGGTGCAAATGCGCAGCTATTGAATGCAGAGCCTTGTTTGCTGTGGTGTACAGGGTCGATGAGGATGTATCATCGCTATCCATCTCTTCCTGAAGGCGTTTCTCCTAATAAAAAGCTTGTCAGGTTCTGTCGCAGTAAGGGAGTCCCATCAGTTGTCCCTCGTAAGTTAAAGCCTAAGGATACTTACATAGGCTATCAGTTGCTGATTCACGCTACTCAGAGAGTTGGTCCACCATCTTGTCACACTGGTGAGGTATATTAAGTGCACAAAACATGCTGGCTTTACCTCGTGGGATCCAGAATAGTGCTCCAGAGATTCCTTGATCCGTCGCTGAGGCTCTTCTGCGGCTCGCGACCAGCGACCATCCATGTAATTGACGACAAAGGCAGCAGTAGTACCTGTGTCAAGATTATGACGGCTGAACACAGCAATTGTGGATCCTCGAAGGTCAACCTCCTCATCGGGGAGGTGAAGATAATGGAACGGGTCCATCTGATTATTGCCTGCCGTGCTGGAAGCATGGCCGTTGCTCTTGTCGGTGCACTTCACCTGCACTCTGATTGGCAAGAAGTACCAAAATTCATAAACTGCATCGTCTTTTCCTTTCCTGGGCACCATGCGCGATCCCTGCCCCAGAGGTAGATAATGCCGAGACATGGCGAACATGAAATCTGGCGGAATGCGATACTGGCTGCTAAGAGCTTTGAGGCTGCTCGTTGATATACGCAGCATGTTTGGATCTGCCGGTAGTTTGGCATGTTTTGTTTTCAGAAGAAATTTGTAGACGAATCTTTAAAAGAAAAGTCAGCATGCAGGTGTCTGCGAAGTTGGAATGCAGATTGCGCACAGAAATTCGTCCTTGTTCTGTCTATCCTCAGGAATCTGTCAATTTGTTAGTTGCTATCTCACCCAGTCTGGACCGAAAAGCCTACTTCTAGGAACCGGCTAAGCTCCTCCTCGTTCATCCGCTCCTGATGAACATTCTTGTCATGGTGAGAATACCAGACCCTCAAGATATCCGTGTGCTGGGAAAGCAGAGATGTTTCAAAGCTCTCAAAGGCGCTTTGAATTTCAGCGCCGTATTCACTAGAAGGGCGTTATAAAACCACCACAGATAATTTCTATTGGGAGTCTCGCTTACATTTCTGGCGCGTAGTTGCCCGAATTTGCGAACCAGGACATTCCTCCGATCATGTACCTGTCCTGACCTCACGATGGCTGTGTGGCTACCCCTTATCTGTGTTTTGCTGTTGGTTGACAATTATAATGACTCAAGCTTGGTTGCAGGCTGCGCCTTCCTGCTGTCAGCCTCGCGTGAGGACTTTGAGCTCGGGGCTGTGTTAATGAATTATTGCCCAGTTGCAGCCTGATAGCCTTGCACAAAGAGGCTCGCACTGTGAGAAAGTTGGTGCGGGGATGTGGCTGCGCCCCCGCACTTGGCTGCAGCATGATGCATTTCAGCTGTGTGTGGCAACGAGGCTGTGCCATGCGAGGGCAATATTCGACCTGGCTCAAGAGCTTTTGTCTAAACCGTTTCCATCTCCCTACACCATTTCTCTAGTATCTTCGATGTCAACATCGCGACGCAAGAAGAAGCCTTTGTCGTTCAATACGACTTGGGTCCTACCCTCAGCGAACGACAACGCGGACCAGACCAACGGTGTCAGTGCGACCAGCGACCACCAATCCAGCTCCGAAGCTGCCGCTGAGGAAGCCAACAGCATACTGCCACCACCTTCTCCCTCAATAGAGCCTCCTACCGGCCACACTTCGTCTGCACTGCCGCCTGGAAAGAAGTCGCGTCGCCCAAAGGCCCATCCTTCCCACTGGACGATTGCCGCTCCCGCTACCCCACAACTCAGCAACCCTCCACAGCCTCGTCCATCAAGACCAACAACCACACAATACACCGACGCGCATCTTACAGGGTCTTTATTAGAGTACAACACTCGGGACATACCAATACTGCGGAGAGCACAGTTCTCATATGGGCACTGCATATCAGGGAGAGAGACTACGGGACACAGTGGCGTTGTGGAATCGCGCATGAAGCCTATGTTTCAATCCTCATCAAGCACCAAGTTGGATAGCCCGGGATCAGTTGGTGACGCGCCCCCGAAACCACCACATATCTCTCCTACCTATAGTCCAATCATTATAATGTGACATCACAGCCAGCTCAGTTTTTCATGTACATAGCAAGCAGTGTTCTTGTATATATGAGCTTTTCATGAACACATTTTGAGGCTGAGCAGCCACCTGGTCCGCTGAAAGGAAGTGCCGCTTTCGCAGCAACCGACCTGCCAATTCAAAACGTAGCCTGACGGGGTGCCTCGGCGTTTCCGTTGCGTCGATACTCCTGCAAGGCTGACAGGCAGCAATATTGATAGCTGACGTCAGAAAGCAGCAGCACGAGGCTTTGCGGGGTATATGAAGAGCCTGCGCACTCAGCTCTCAAAGCAGTGATAATCGCAGCCTTCAAAATGCCGATGGATGCAGAGGAACAGGCACCCTCACGATTCCCATTCGTGGGTTCCATAAAACAGCGTAAGGGACCCTCTGACCTCATATACCACACTCACTCAAAGTCGCACGTTGATAGGTTTGCGTGTTGGAACGAGGCTGGGCCGAGGTGTGGCGCCAACTGGACCTTTTACGGCGCCTTCGGATCTTTCAGGGCAGACACACAATATTCCTTGGCGAGATGGCCCATCCTCTCCAGGTCAGACATCTACCACTGAATATTTCGATGATCAGGATGCTGCCGGAGAGACAAATGCGTCTTTTGCTGGTTCCGATATCGTGTTCGCCGTCGACTGCTCTGCCAGTACCAGAGGGCTCGTTCTGATCGAGGAGAAATCAGCAGTCACGCAAATCGCAGAAGCTTTGTCTCCTGAGGCGAGGGCTACATCGACAGTTCTGCCATGGGATTACTACGCTCACCCCGCGCTTGACGTGGCGCAAGTTGGTCTGATCAAGTCCGGCAACGGTACAACGCCGACTGTTCTCATCCACGACAACAATTCCCAGGAAAGGTTGCAGAAAACATCTATCTGGTGCCTTATTACGGACGGAGAGATAGAGAGCGAAGAAGTGCACGACTTCGCATCCGGGATTGCAGAAGCTGGTCTTCACGGCATTCCCTCTGTCGTTATTCTTGCCGGTTATACCGTTGATCAACCGATCGACTGCAACATCTCAGTTGGCAAGGCTGTATTTGCCCTTGCGTCAGATTCGCTTTTCCTGTTCCACGATGTTGAATTTGGCGCAGTCTATGTGATGCAGAGCAAGGGTTGTTTCAATGCCCTTCTTCCACCAGGACAGACCTCCATTCCGTTGGACAACACCACCTCATGGAAAGACTTACCGAAGATTAACTACAAATCTTTGGCGTCCGTCGTTATCCCGAAAAAACGTCTTCTTTCCGAGGACACCATCGTTCTTTCAAGTGGAAGGCAGCTCAATCTTCAAGATATCTACAACGACAGCGTTGACGATGAAACAGCACATGAAATTCTGAGCAACAATGACAACCTGAGTACTGTGCTCTTGACCGCTTCAACCAGGGATTGCAAAGATCGTGTCAAAGCTTGGTTGAACGGGAGGCGCTTTCGGACGAACGACTCGATGTGGGCACCTCGACCTGACACTGGGGACCGAAGCCTTAAACTCATTTCTCAAATCATCGACACTCTTCGAGAAGACCCAGAGGCAGAAATCAGCAAGCTCTCGAGCAGCCTTCGCTTGAGTTACACCCGGAGCTGGCAGCGCTTCTGTGCATCTGTCGATATGAGAGATAAATTCGAAGAAATCCGCCCTGACGTTGTATCAGACGCGATGCACTTCTTGAATCTAGATGATATGACACCGCACAGTCCCGCTATACTAGGTCCAGCCTCTCCAGCTCTCGCTCGATGCAGAAATGAGCGGAAAGATGAGCAACGTCCAGTGCGACTTTACTCTTACCCCGCCACCAATACGGGCCGCGAAAGGCGACCCCGGGAGGGCAAACTGCTCTACACTCCTGGATACCGAATTCGGGAATTCGGTGATCACTACCGGGGCCAATGTGCCATTTGCGGTACACCGGACTCGATATTTGCCATTCTTCTGAAGGCGGCTGCCTCCGACGACGAGACACCTGGGTTTCCATCGCCGGATGCCCGCGCAAATCATCTATATCCCATGGTCCTTGGGGCGTATCCGGAAACCGATATCATAGCGCCTGAAGTGTACTGCGAGATCTGTTCGTACTTCATGACTCGAATTGGACGGTCGCCGAAGAGCGACGAGATCACCGGCTCCCTTCCACTCATCTGCCTGAAGTATTCCAACGCCCACGGCGCCCTGCAATGGACAGAGACGATCGCGAATGCGTTGCAAAGAAGATTCGACGACAACATCGTGCTCCAGATTTTTCTATCTGCTCTGTATTACACCATTGATGATGTCTCCATGGACACACCCACGACATCCTTGAGTAATGCATTGATGTGGGCCTGTCGGAGTTTAGTCAAGGTAGTCAGGATTCCGGGCGAGCTCGTTGAAACTCCCAGATCGGGAGCCCCGGAAGTCCTTGGCTTTGAGTACCTCCAGGACGTCTTGAAAGACCAGCTCGACAGCTTGCGAAAGAAAAGCAACCCACTCCTCAATTATCCATTGGACGGGTTCGTGTCGCTCATCCGCGCCGCTCTGGATCTTACATCTGTTTGTCAGATGGAAAAGATCAAAGATGCTGTGTGGCTCCGCCTGCTGTTCACCCTCATGGAGCACCATTTCGAACTGCAAGCAAAGGAAGGCGAGAAGGTTGCGAGAGAAGCTCTGAACACTCTGCTCATCGAGAAGCCATCCGGGTATTCACAAGCTGGACAAACGAGTAGCGCTACTGAAGACGGAGCCGACGAGTCCCCAGATGAGTTGACGCCAATGGGAGGAGGCGGATCTCAGACTGCCAATGGGAACCCCGAGCTGGTAATTGATACAAAGAAGACTTCGGTCTCTCTGGAAACCCTCCAGCAAACGCATCTATTTCCCCCCGACATTCTGGAACAGTACCAGAGACTGGCAAGTGTGTTTCCTGAAAAGGAGGAGTGGTGTGCAAGAGCTATCGCTGTCTTTTTACACGTCCTGTACAAGGAATCACTCGGCAGCCGCAATGCGACCAATCTTTTTGGCGAACTCAAGATGCAGCGGAGATTGCGAATGATCTATTGGGGACGGGAGAACGTGGATCAACTGACTGCGGCGGATATGATTTCAGTGATCTACCGAAAGTAGAAACAGTGACAAGGGGGGATCAAAGTAAGATTGAAAAGCATATAGTATGTCAGTCGTTACTACGATATGTGGAAGAATTTCATGTACGTCTCATGGATGCCTATAAGCAACTCGCAATCGAAGCGGCTGGGAAGTCCTGTAATTTCCGTGTCCAGTCCTGCTACCTATCTTGTTTTGTAATCAGAGTTTGGTACGAATATCCAATAAATAGCAACTTCCAATCAGTGCTTAGCCGCCTATGACCCCCTTTTTAGATGATGTAGCCGATTTCCTTCTTGTAGTTGTCTCATTTACTACGCACCATGTGAAAATTCAGCACGATTCACGTCGTATTCTGGCGATGTCTGAGGCTCAAAAATGCGTCAAATTGCTGCCTCATGGGGTTCCCCGCTTCCCAACATGGACATTTTCTCTTCCACGACTTTTTCCTTTCTCCAAAGCACACGACGGTGTACGGAACGGTCATCAGAAACTTTCTCTCGGATCATGATGTCTCCGATCTTCCTACTGGACTCTCCGGGAATGGCACCGAGGGTGCAGATCTGGGATCCTTCGGGTGTGCGTAGAATATCCGTTGGGTCGGTAAGTAGACACGCGGCGACCAGATCCACAACCGCCTCGTTCACACAGCACCGCTGCAGGATCACGAGCAGCGCAGCTGCCACAAGGGTAAGCAGATGCAGAACGATCCAGACGCAGACTCTTTTGGAGTTTACACGTGCCCTCAGAACGGGTGAGGGAAGCTGGACTTTCGTCGTAGCTGACGTCGAGTTGAATCGTTCCACCATCGAGTTCCAAGATGCCTGGTATGCCGCGGAAAGGGTTCCGGTAACAAACCCTCTCAATGGGCCTTCTCCCCAAGTTGGCGCCTGTGAGATGTTGAAATTGGCCATCGTGTGGGTCAATTCAGGAATCATCTGCATTATCGCCTCGTTCAGGGGATTGGCGTACACGGCCGACCGGGAAGAGTTGGCCGCAAGAGATGATTGGGCTATCCTTGCAGTCGACCAATTCGGCGGTGATGGTGGTGTTGGCGAGGATGTAGCATTGCGTGATATTAAAGGCTCGAAGGCAAACCCCACATTTACTTCAACCAGCCCTTTGCAGCTGCTCAACCGGGTGACATTATTCCCACGGCGCTCTCCATTGCCAAAATGAGTGATGATTCGGGTTTACAATCCCGCCATGCCGGGTTAGGAAGTCGTGCAATATAGAGCAGAGGTGAGTGTCCTGTTCCACAACAGTCATACGAGATCGTCCATAAAGTCACTTCAAATTGCTTTCTGCAATTGATCTGAGACTATGCAGCTAGGCGTATGTTGAGAGACCCTCAGCGTACTAAATGCTGCGGATAGCCGTGTTACGAGATTCCAATAAACGCATGATAATGACTCAATTAAAAAAAGCTGAAGGTGTTACGCTTCGTCAATTTGGTATATTTGCCAAGGTCCCACAGCGGCTGCAGAAGCATTTGAGATGCTTCTTGGCGAGAATTAAGCGGTAAGATCAAGGCCTGGTCTCAGATATCTAAAGCAGTTCATATACTCCGTAAAGTTGCCTGCTCTTCTTGCTATTATCAGGTACACCATATCTCCACGCAAAGTCAGACCCTGTTCTAACATCAATTTACACTACAAATCGTCTTTCAAGATCGCAGTCAGCCTTCTAACCTCCATCATGTCTGGCTTCGAAATTTCTGCTGCCATCACCTCCGCCCCTGGGCTTTTTCTGGCCTGTGTTGAATGCTTTGAACTGATTCAACTTGGGCGCAGCTTTGGGAAGGACTTCGAGCGCAGTCTTCTCCGGCTCCGAGTTACTAAGCTCCGTTTTGTGCGAATCGGATCCTGCAAGGGTATTGCGCTTGACAATCCCGAAGCAACACTCCCGGAGAGGATGTCGGATGACGAGGGGACCGAGGAAACAGTGAAGAAGCTCATAGCTCAGATCATCACTCAGTTCAGTACTACCTCGAGTATCTGCGACCGGTACAAAGGGGACGACAAGAGCGTCGGAGAAGCTGGAGACGTGAAGGATGAGAACATCCTTCAACTTTTGCAGAAGGTGCACGACCAGGCCCAAATTCGCCAGAATCGCACAAATTTCCGCAGAAAGGTTGCATGGGTATGTTACGAGAAGGGCCACCTTGACCGCATGCTCGACAGTATCAACATTGATATCAATAATCTGTCCTATTTCCTCGAAACCGGAAATCAGGAGAACCAACACGCCATCCAGGAGGTCAACACAATCAAAACAGGCGCCAAAGACCCAGATTCACTTCTCAGCATCTTGAAGGAGGTGGCCGATGGCACAGATGCTGCCCTTAGAGTTGCTGCGGGTAACGCTTTGGACAGCGGAGGTCATCGTTACCAGAACAACTACCTGGAAAAATGCGATAACGTCACTTATGGAGACTGGGTGGGAAGTGGAGCGACAGCCTCCGCAGGAGGAGGGAAGAATTTGTATCGAGGAAACCAAGCAAAAGAAGTCAAGAATTTGGTATACGGAACTCACTACCAAGGAAACACAGGGACCTGACGAGGTCAGAGTGGCCAACACATGAGGAGCGGCCAGGCAGGGGAACAGAAGGGTTAGCACATACAGGACAAGAAAGATTCGGATGATGGATCCGGAGCTGATCCATCGACGAACCCATTTTAGTTGGGGAATGTTCCACTCAATCCACATTGACTTTCTTCCCCGCAATCGTCTCCCCACCACAAGTGTGAATGACGAGCACGTTGATAGGTGGGCTTCTCTGCCTAAGGCCACAGGACTTCGATTATCTCTTGCCGCATTGACTAATCCCTCATCCATCCGTCCCACTCCATGAATTAGCCCTCAGTTCGATCAAAGCTCTCCTGGCGAAGTACTAAGTGTCCGATTTATCCTGGCATCAGCTGATATTTCGCAGCGGCTACAGCGTAGAGGATGTTTCAGCTCTAGCGGGAAGTTGCATGGCGTTTTCCTTGGCTGATGCCGGACTGCCCATAGAATCAAGGCGCGGCCGCTTAGGCACCCTGATTCTGAGACAGCATCATTTGCTCCCCGCACCGGTGAGCCAGTAAGTCTGACTTTCTGTGCTAAGTTCAAAACTCGACTCGAGAGTTTGTGGCATCGGTTCCAATGGCAGTCCATGGTATCAACGCTTTGGAGAGAGTAGAGGGCCTGATAAGACCGCTATGACACCTCATTGCGCTTCTAAGCGCCGGGGCTAGTTGATCGTACGCCACCGCTTCTGCCTTCAACCTATTTGGACAGATACATTTACTGCACTCCCAGCCCCATGCAACTTGTACAGGGGAAACATGCATGTCAACAAGGGAGAGTCCTATTTCCAGGAAAATTCGGCTACGCAGTGCAACAATGTTCAATATGGAGATCATTTCGGATCCAGTAACGCAGTGACACAGAACATCGGATCGGGTAAGCTCAATCGAGGAGTGCATCCGTGTATCACCTCAGCTTGCTAACAGTCCTTATGCCAGATCTCAGCCACACTTTGTTGACTGTGGCACTGATAATGGCTTTCATTTTGGGCGTCACGTCTAGTAACCTCATCTTGATGTTCTTGTCGAGTGTTTTAAGAATGCTTAACTCCCCAGCCGGCCTCAAGGAATCCCCGAGTCACAAGTCCACCACAAACGACGATCGATCCTCCAGGCTTAGGCGAGTCCATCAACTCCACGAAGAAGTAGCACACGTTATCGCCAATGTGGGAGTCCTGGATCCTGGCCGAGAACGGCCTCACAACCAGCTCAAATTTGTACGTTGTTTTAGCTATGGCAGCATACGTGGCAAGCTTCGAATCACCTGTTGTACTCTCGGAGGTCGAACTCCTCGAACTGCTTGTTTGTGAGAGATACATGCCCTTGGTCTTTCGTAGTTCAGATTCTGACAGCGATAGGTACCTACGAAGCAAGCGAAAAACTCGAGCCCAATTCTCTTGGCCTTATTGCGAAGATACTGAGCGGGTTCCTCGGTCATACCGGCAGCAGGCCTACTCTAAATACGGTGCACGAGCGCCCGTGAATAGATGGGACCTATGGGGCTAAATGTATCTGCTTGGACGTGGGCGCCCTTGCATAAATTCGTTAGCTGGCTCAGTACAGGATTGTCATTCGCGAGTACCTTGGGCCCAATCCTCAAAGGAAAGAGTCTAGATGTTCCGATTGACTCTCTAAGAGCCAAGAAACTCCAATGGTCTTTGGCAGCGGTCCTCTTCATTTACAAATTTTGATTCGACTCAAGACTGCGGGCAGTATGTATCGATGGAGGATCGCTGTGCGGCACTCAGCTGAGTACATTGTTGGACAGATTGATGATCGAAAGCACAGTGGGCGATATGGGTCTGTCTTCCATACCATGATTGTATCAATGCGTGGTAAGACTTAGAATTATACTGGATTTGGGGATGCATCAATTTTGATGCGCAGGATTGCGCTCGCTCTTTTCCTTTATTGCTCGATTAGGCTTAGCATAGTTTGCTTAGAGTTGGGGTTTGCCACTATCCATCGCATTTACTAATCAATCACCCTTTGAATCACTCCGCCCCATGGGATCTATTGCCCACCATCTTATCTCTTTTCATGTTTCCGGATTTCATGCGCGACCAAATTTAGGGAAAGAGAAAAAACATCATGATCGAAGAGGAGGATACAATGTCGGCAATTATTGAGGGACGCAACTGTTCTGCTGTTGTCACAGTCTGGGGTCACAAACAATAAAGATGAACTCTCTCTTGAAGAAGAATTGAGATGGGCCCATCTCGAGAAAATTTTTTTAAGCAAGCCTAAGCAAACGAGTGGACGCCGCTTGACAACGACTGAACCAAACAACTGTAGGGAGCGTCTGTCCGGCAAAGGAAGAAAAAAAAAATATTTACAAAACCAAGAAATACCCCAACACGGAGCTTAGACGGTGTACAGCAGCGTTCCAAAGCCCAGCTGATCGTAACCACCGCTGTTCGGGCCGTAGTCGCCGCCACCACCCTCAGCGCCGCCAGCATCGTCCCTCACCAGCTGGGCGTACTGCTCAGAGTAGGTGGCCTCGAGGCCCTTGATCTTGACGTAGTGGTTGTAGATGAGCTCCCAGATGGGGCGGATGTTGCCGCGGCCGGCGTCGCTGATGACGTCCTGGGTGACGTCGCTGTTCACGTAGGTGGTGTACTGCACGTCGTTGCCCAGGTTGTACTTGGCGGCGTACTCGGCGCCCTTGAGGATGCGGTTGTCGAGGTACGCGAACAGGTCGATGCCCTGGTTGTACGCCATCTGCGCGAAGGCGCCGACGAGGCCGATGTCCAGCATGGTGTGACCCTGGTCACGACCCGCCTAATTTGCTTGAGTCAGCTTATGAGGCTAAGAGCCTGGTGGGGGGGAGAAATTCTCACCTCCTGAACCTGCGCGGTGCCATCGTCATACACGATCCAGAACAGCTTCTCAATGTTGCCGTTGCCGGTGCCGTTGTAGAAGTAGTTGATGGCCTCGTCGAACATGGTCTGGTTGTCGGACAGGATACCAGCAGCGAGACAGGTTGCCATGTTGGCCAGATCCCAATTGGCCCAGTAGTGGTCATCGGCAGCATCGTTGTGCTCAACGAAGAAGCGATGGTTCATGGGGTAGAAGACGTCGGTAAGCATCGCCGCCGCCGCCGCCAAGTTGTCATCCGTGAAGCCGTCAAAGTCGCGCAGGATCTCGGCCGCGTTGGCAATTTGGTAGCCGTAAATACCCGAGGCGAGGTACTTGTCGGAGTTGCCAGAAATCTCCTTAAGGGTGCTGGACCACGCGTTGACGACGTTGGCTGCGGCGGTTCCGAAGGCTTCGTCACCGGTGACCTTCCAGCGAATGGCAAGTCTACACAAACATTTTGTTAGATTGTGGAAGTATATTGAGGTTTTGGTGGACACATACTGGTACGCGGCAGCAGCATCATTGAACATGTGGCTGTAGTTCTCAGTGCAGCTGGCCGGGGAACCACGGCAAAGGAGCTCCTCGGGGTTCGGGGTGTAGGTGGATTGCGCGTGAGAGTTGTTGGTCAGCTTGTACCACCCGGTGAGCCAAGGCTCGTTGCCAGCGTTGACGTTTGTAGTGATGCGTTCGAAGTCCTCGGCGGTATGGAGCATGCCGGGGTGAACGAAGGCCGCCGAAGCGGACACAGCTGAGCCGGCCAGCAGCGTGGAGTACTTCATCGTAACTATAGGAAGAAAATCAAAAACGAAAAAGAAGTAGTGAAGGTGAAGTAGAGAATCCAAGCCGGACGGGCAAGAAGCGCTTTTATCTGTTTAGTGTGCCCCTTCGAGTACGTTAGTCAATACGAGCTATCCGAAACTTTTGCGAAGCCAGCGCCAAGCGATGGGGAATATAGACCAGGGGGTTGTCACTGTGGGCACCACCGTCTGTTGGTGGACGACGAACAGGGCAATGGCACCGGCCAATGGCAGTGCAAAAAGGATGGACAATGCTTGATCTTCCGTGGATCTTCTGATGCCAAAATACCGTTTCAGGAACCCCTTTCATTGTTGTAGGATCATCACTGCGGAGAAGACGTTCATTTTGGTGTTTCTCGCCGCGTCAGCGACATGATCGGCTTGAAAGAGGGATGCCATGGTGAGGCATTGGAAACATCCTGCTCATTTCGGTTAAGGTGGGCGGGCACACGTCGCGATTGGCTCTGTGATTTGTTTCCCCTGGCGCCCGCCGGGGACAGCGCGGGACCTGCCGCTGGAATTGCGCTGAAGAACCGGGGGTGGCGTAACATGATTTGCAGTTTCCTCTATCCCGCACTGGCCTTACTGGTAACTTCGTGGTTTAGCTCATTTCCAAGAATGGTAGTTTGAACATCGCTTAAAGGGAAGGCTTCGTACCTCGTAAACCTCTGCAGCGGCCCGTCTTCCGGAACGTCTTCCGGACCGTCCTCCGAAGGATAACACCACCGGTCTTAGTCCCGGAACTTGCCCGTAACGCTGATCAGTGGTGCAAAGTAACGCAAAAGCGTAAAAGATGAAGACCCAGAGCTTGTACACCTGTTCTTGCATCGAACGATCAGGATGGATTCCGGTGGGCGAACAGCACATCACTACCTTCTTTGGCGCCCCTACAACATTGGGAAGTTCTTTTATTGTACAGGGATTGTGTCTGGTAGTGCTAAAGAAAGCAACAGGCGGTGGACTGGATAGCTCGGTCTTCGGGTTTAGCGAAAGTAGAGCGTAGGATCGTTATCATGTCGAGGTCTCTGATCCAACTCTAGTGGACAAGCTGTTAATTCGGATTCTTTATTTCCGTCCCTCAGATGAGAGCCACTTACGTCCTAACATGTAGGCCGACCTTGGCTTTTCTCCGATAGCTGTTTGCCTGTTTCAAGCCGGCACGATCGGCACCGAAAGTTCCACCATGGCGTCGACTTGGTCAAACCCAACCGTGCTCGGAGCGGGTCTCTACGCGTCTACCCCCGCCGCCGGCTTGCCCCCTCCGACACACCCCCACCACTCCCGAATTCATCCGGCCGGGACCTACTTCGCCTCCGGCGGCACCTCCATCTCCTTCCCGTTCATCTCGCCCACGTCGAGGGCGACCAAAAACCTGCTGACGCAGTTATACGCCGCCACAGCCGTCGTCAACTCGACAATCTCCCTCTCACTAAAAAACGGCTTCAACCCATCAAACACGTCCTGCGGCACCTTCACCTCCTTCGTCATCGCATCCGCATACCTAATCACCGCCTTCTCCTTCTCCCCCAACCCCTCCACTGCCTCTCCCGCCTCCTCCACCGGCACCTTCTTCAAGCACCACTCCAACACCGCCCGCGGCACCCCCGCCTTGGCCGCCAGCGCGGCGTGCGCGCGCCACTCCCACACGGCGTCGGTCAGGGCGCCGACGCGGCTGACGGCCAGCTCGAGCACGGCCTCGTCGACGACGGTTTTGGTGCGGATGGCGCCGAGGAAGCTGTTCCAGCCGTCGGCCACGGGCGGGCTGTGCAGCAGCGCCAGGTCGAGCGGGATCAGCGGGCGCGGCCGCCGCCGCTCCGCGATGCGCGCGTAGATGGCCGCCGTGGCTTCGGGGTCCGGGTTCGAGGGCGAGGCTTCGGTCGGGGCCTCGGTGGGCGCGTAGGGGAGGCGCATGGTGAGGGGTGGGGTTGTGGATAGCGGTCGGCGGCGCGGTGACGATAAGGATGATGATGATGATGGTGGTGGTGGTGGTGGTCGCCGGTGTGCGGAATGGGCAATGGAAAGCCTAGGCAGGATAGTTGTGGGAAGGCCTGAGTATGCGGGTAGGTTAGAGTGGTGAATGTGCTGACGTCAATGGTTGCAGCGCTCAATTGGCGGGGCAGCGGGCGTTTACCTAGTGACTTGCAAAAGGGCGATCTCATGGGTGGTGAAGAAATCGGGGGATCTCTCGCGCATATATGCTGTGGAACGAAGGCAACTGAGGGGTAGGCATGGTGGGGTAGGCGGCAGCATCCAAGCTTCCGGTAGCGCTATTGCGTGCATGCGCATTGCAGGTCGACGGGAGTGGACCGCGGCAAAAGGCTTACCCCCGTCCCAGAACATCATCGCAACAACGTTCAATGGAATTTATCAAATGTAATCTTCTCAATTGTCTCCGTGTGATATCATATCAACGCTGAAATGTTCGCGTGCAGAGTGTCCCAGAGTCCCCAAAAATAAAAACAAATATTTACAACGCCAGAAATGCCCAATCATAATCCAGAATTTTCATCTACTGCGCCGTCTTGTCCTTGGGAGCCAGGCGAACGTTGTACTCCAGGTCGAGAGATGCCTTGGGGTCGTCCTTGCGGGGGTTGAAGTGGATGATCAGGTCATCCTTGACGGCGAAGACGGAGTCGTCGATAAGGTGAGGGTCGGTGTCGGGGTAGAGCTGGGTGACGACGGGCTTGTAGTCGGGGTGGCTGACCATCAGGTGGAGATGGGCGGGCCTCCAGGGGCTGCGGTCCATCAGGCCGAGCAGGACACCGGCAGGGCCGTCGGTGGGCAGTTGGTAGGCGGTGGGCTTGAGCATGTAGAAGTGGTATTCGCCGTTCTCGTTGGTCCTGAACTTGCCGCGCAGGTTGTTGGGCGTCTGGCCCTCGGGGTCCTGGAAATCGTACTTTCCGTTGGAGTTGGCCTGCCAGATGTCGAAGACAACGTTCGAGATGGGCTTCTTGGTATCGAGGTCGATGACCTTGCCGTGCATCAGAGAGACCTCGCCGTTGTGCGGGCAGTCGATGATGCTGCCGCCGTTCTCACGGAAGGGAGCGTGGGGGCTCCAGAAGGGGCCGAGGATGGTCGACGAGGTCGGGGCCTCGCCGGAGGCAGAAAGGTGCTTGTTGGCGATCTCATCGACAAGACTGAGCAAGTTTAGTTAGCGAGGAGCACTTCTCCTGAGTGTGCGCGCGGGGACTTACGATTCCAGGCCGATGACGTCGGTGATGCGGTGAGTCTCGTTCCTCTTGCCGTTGCTCTCAGCCCAAAGCTTGCCGCACTGGTTCATGAACTCGACACCGGCCATCCACTCCTCGGTGGTGAGCTCGACCTCGCGGGCAAAGTCGTGGATGTGCTTGAGCATGGCGCTGAGCACGAAGCGAGCGCGGGGCGGGCAAGCCGGGCCAATCGCGTCGATGACATTCTTGGTGAAGTTAGGGTCGAACTTGTCGGCGTTAGACATGGCGGCGGTTTTTGATTGGGGTTGAGCTGCGAATGCAAAGACTGAGAAGACAAGAGAAGAGAAGAGTAGAGCTGAAGGCTTGTCGAGTGAAAGCAGTGTCGAAAAGGGCTGCACACCTTATAAAGGCGCAGTCACCGTCTGGGGCGCTGGCGCACCGGCAGATCCATCGGCTGAGACCTTTTACTCTGGGGAAGCGTGGCTCGCCGCGTCGTTGCCGGCGTGCTTCCCGTTAGCCAGAGCCCCCGCAGCCCAGCCCCGCGCACCCCCCGGACCCTTGACTCGCACGCTCCACGCAGCCGGCGGTCGGCGCGCTGTTGCAAAAGAACCTCCGCCATTGGCTGCCACAACAACCGATGGTAGCAACCGGTGCGAACCGATCTCTCCTTAGCCCAGGGTAATCTCTCTTCCATCCCGCGCTTTACCCAACCCGGTATCAAGCTCTGGCCCTCGTGCGCCTGTACCGGAGCTCCCAGATGTCCCCGCGCAGAATATCCCATTGAGCTCCAGATGCGCGCGTCCTGCCGACTTTTCCAGCACCTCACACGGAACTGCACGCCGCAGCCATCGCGACCTTTCGCCAGGATGGGCAAGCATCACTTGATGGTCGGCACCTGGGTGCGCCCGGGTGCCATTTTCACCTTCGAGTTCGACGACGAGGCCTTGACGCTGAAGCTCGTTAAGCGCACCGAGATCGACTACGACGAGCCCATCTCGTGGATGACCTTCAGTGTGAGTCTTCCGTCTGTTTACGCAATCCTGTCGACAAATTGATGATATTTTTCACGTCGCACACGACTGACGCGTAATTGGGAGTCAGCATGATCGGAAGCAAATTTACGGCGCGTCGATGAAGGCGTGGACAAGCTACACCGTCAAGAGCCCAACCGAAATTGTGCGCAGCGCGTCACACCCCATTGCTGGCCACCGTATGTCCCTGCAGCCATCAATCCCACGATTCTCCACCTCAGGTGATCTGACATAACATTCTTCCGCAACAGCTCTCGCTGCGAACAAGGATACCAACACCCGCGCCATTTTCCTCCTCGCCGCCAAGCAGGCTCCGTACAATGTCTACTGCAACCCCTTCTATGATTATGCGGGCTTTGGCAATGTGTTCTCGGTAAATGAGGACGGGTCGCTGAAGGAGAATGTCCAGAACTACGAGTACGAGCCCAAGACTGGTATTCACGGCATGGTCTTCGACCCTACCGAGACTTACCTTTATTCGGCCGACCTGCGCGCCAACAAAGTGTGGACGCACAAGAAGGATCCTGAGACCGGCCAGCTGACCCTGCTTGGGGCTCTGGAGGCGCCAGACCCGGGCGACCACCCGAGATGGGTTGAGATGCATCCGAGCGGGAACTACATCTACGTCCTGAACGAGGCGGGCAACAACCTCGCTGAATATGTGATTGACCAGCAAACTCATCTGCCTGTTTTCACCCACCGCACATTCCCTCTCATCCCGCCAGGTACGTGAATTACACATTTTTGCCCAGATGCCTGGTCTAACCGTGCTGCAGGCCTCAGATACAACCTCAAGAACTACCGCGCCGACGTTGTCTTCACTACCCAGAGCGGGAAAACACTGTTTGCGACGACGCGATCCAACACAATCGGCGTGCCTGGCTACATCAGTGCTTTCAGTTTGGCGGAGAATGGCAGCATCGAGAGGCAATTGTTCATGAACCCCACTTCGTCCAGTGGTGGCCATTCGAACGCCATTGCCCCGTGCCCGTGGAGCGACGAGTACATCGCCATCACGGACGATACTGTGGGATTCATCGAGATGTACAGATGGCAGGATGGATTCCTTGGCAGGGTTGCCAGGTGTGAGGTGACCGAACCAGGGTTCGGCATGAACGCCATCTGGTACGACTAGACGTAGAAATTAGAATTACGCTATTGGCTGCTAAGCTGTGTTCCTGTGTCCCTGACAGAATGTTCGCGGAAAAAGATAATCTTGGTGGTTCGATGTTGCGATGAGAGTGCAGAAAGTTCATCCGGTTGCAATCCTGGCCCAGACAGGAAATTTAGCAACAAATGGTGCGCCTGCCAAACACACAAGTCCTACGATTGGTACATTTTTGCTGCATCTGTTTTCTCTTGAGATTTTGCATGTGTAGATGACGTGCTGGTGCTAGCAACCTTTCGCGCCATAATTTGACCCCAGTTAAGCCCAAAAAGACTCCGACAGAGGGCTGCGGCAACCAAAATTCTGGCGTCGCAAAAAATTAGCGGGGCAGCCCGCTGACGTCGCTCGGCCTTGCGCGGCTAAAGACACACCCGAGGTCCAATGCCGGATCCACGCGGGGCGCCACATCCCGATCTCTCTGCCGGCCGCGGGGCAGAGTTCGAGCTAGCGATTGCGGGCAGGCACGATGAGCACGTCGGCTTTGCGATGGCAGGCCGGCTAGTTAGCTCCAAATAACTCAAACATCTCTCCTGATGCTCACGTTGTCGCCCTCCATCAGGACCCGAGCCATTGGCCCCGCGAAGAGACTCGTCACCGTTTGCGAGCAGACCTCATCCGCCACTACCGTCGCCGTTACCGAACCGAACACCCGTTGTCCGAGACGAGCAGCAAGATGGCGCCCGTGCCCGGCCTCCTGTACGTGACCATGCAGCCGCACGCCGAGCTGCCGGACTCGGTGTTCCACGACTGGTACAACAACGAGCACGGCCCGACGCGCCTGCGCCTGCCCTTCGTCACCAACGGCTTCCGCTACCGCGCCGCTGACCTTGACGGCGAAAATGCAGGCTCCAAGGAGAAGCCGGAATGGGTCGCCCTCTATGACATTCCGGACATGAACGCCCTCAACTCCGAGGCCTACCTCGCCCTGCGCGGACCGCCGCTGAAGAGCGAGCGCGAGGCCGCGACCATGAAGAAGATCCACGTCGACCGCCGCGTGTACGACCTCGTGAGCGACAAGAAGAAGGAGGGGTACAAGGACCTCGAGGACGTGGACGCGGAGGGCAAGGTCGGCGGCGTGCTGGTGTCCGTGACGGCAATCCTCAAGCCAGGCGCGGACGAGGAGGAGTACAAGCGGTGGTCCGAGGAGGAACACGCGCCGCTGCTCTCCAAGGTTCCCGGCTGGAGGCGGTCGCGGCGCTTCAAGTACTCGTCGGTGGTGAAGCCGCTCGGGCCTGCAGATGAGATCAAGCACATCGAGTACATGGCGCTGCACGAGTACGACCCCGAGAATGGGCTGGGCACCTCGCCCGAATTCAAGGCCGCCACGACGACGCCGTGGACGACCAAGGTCAACACCGAGATCGTAGGCTCGAAGAAGCGCCGCGTGTACAACCTGACATACACTTTCGGCCCCGCGCCGCGCTACCTGTCCTCGCTGGCCGCCGGCGCCGTGCCCGAGTTCAAGCACCCGGACGGCGTCACCAGGACCATCCCTGCCACGAACGGCGCAGCGGCAGCCATCGAGTCCTACATCACCACGCCGGACGGCGTGAACCTCGAGTACCGGCTCGACGGCTCCGGCGACGTCCACGCACCCCTCATCATCCTCGTCAACTCCATCCTGACCGACTACCACATCTGGGACGACTTCGTCGCCGCCTTCCTCGCCGACCCGGCCAACAGCCACTACCGCGTGCTCCGCTACAACTCGCGCGGCCGCACCAGCGCCTGCGGCACCACCCCCGTCACCGTCGACCTACTCGCCAGCGACGCCATCGCGCTGCTCGACGCCCTGCGCGTTCCCCAGGCCGCATCCATCATCGGCGTCAGCCTCGGCGGCGTGACGGCCCTCGCCGCGGCGCTGCGGCACCCTGCGCGCGTCGCCTCCTTCATCGCCTGCGACACCAACCCCGTCGCGCCGGCCGCGAACCCGCAGCTGTGGGCGGAGCGCGCCGCGGTAGCGGAGAAAGAAGGCGCGACGGCCGCGACGTACGGCGGCGCAAAGTCGCTAACCACCGTCGCCGCCGACGACGAACCGGTGATAGGCGACCAGCTGGCCGAGGTGACGGTGCGCCGGTGGTTCGTGCCGCAGTCGTACGACGACGCCGCGCTGGCGCCCAAGCTGCACGCCGTCAAGGCCGCCGTCGAGCGCAACAGCCTGCACGGCTTCAAGACGGCCGTGCGCGCGCTGTACAGCTACGACTACGCCGAGGATATGAAGAAGGGTACTGTGCCTGGCGCGTTCCTCGTCGGCGCCGGCGACGGCAAGTTGCCCGAGGGCATGAAGAAGATGCGGGACATGTACGCGGATGGCAAGGGCGCGTACTACCTCGTGCAGGATGCCGGTCACCTGCCCATGGTCGAGAAGCCCGACGTCGTCAAGGGCCATGTGACGGAGTTTTTGAGGGCGAATGGGTTGTAGGTGGGATTATCTTGTTGAGGAATAAGGGGGGGTTATCGGTGATGTAGGAAAGCCGGAGGTGCTGTACGGACGGACGGCCTACCCGAGTATGATTATGATGATATGTAGAAAATATGTGAACTTGCTTGTTATCAGTGCTCTGCCTGTCTCCTGGTAGGGACTTGTCTGTGGCATGTTCAGATGTCTTGCTTGACTGGGCAAATGCCGAGTTGCCACTCTGTAGAAGCCAAGAGTCTTGCACGTTGCATGCTGGCGACCAGGAGTAACGCGGTCTCTCATCAGAGACACTTCCGTGGGCTTGCTAATGCAGACCGACTCGAGCAGCAGACACCCCAGTCAACCAGCAGTCGTCATGTCCAGCAACGATCTGAGAGGAACGAAAACGAGAATGAACACCTTCGAAGAACGGCTGAGTGCCAGCCGAACGTCATCCACAGAATTAGTCCGTCAGGCGGAAGCGCTCGATGAGGCGAACGATTTCCCAGGCTTGCTCGAGAACACACTCCGTCAGTCCGCCGAAGCGGAGAACTACACAAACCAACAACTGCAAGCCAACCAAGAGCGATTTCGTAAGCGAGGGAGTGCGTGGAGAAGAATCCGGGAGGCATGGTACTGTGCAAGACGATATAAACAGTCGGATGAGCGCAGAGAACTTGGAGTGGAGGCGAAGGAATGCAGAAGGATCATGGATGGGATAACGGAGCGTGGGAACCGGACACTCCACAATACGACCAACTTGCGAGGAGTATTCGCAGTCAGCGACACTCCCACTCCTCTTCTGAGACTTCCCGTTATGATTTATCAACTGGGCGTATGCCTCAATCATGCAGAGCGGAGCCAGGAAGATATCGGGAGCCGTGCATAATTGTGTGATGGTATCTTCGTGCCATTCTCTTCAGTTTCGAGTGTTGTATGAAATAGTGATTCAATGATGCCAAAGGGCCTCCGAATTCGTCGTTCAAGTAGGAGAGATTGAATGCTTATGTCTGGTGGAGCTGGAAAAGCCAAAGGGTGCAGGGTGGCTCGAGTCAGAAGGAGGGTCACTGCGGTAGGTGCGCTGATGGCTTCGGTAATCGTTAGATATATTTCGGGAGCTTGCGTGTGAGGGATAGAGAGAGGTCAAGAGATGAGTCGGGGCGGAAGCAGGTGTAGAGCGGTGCTGCCATAGGGTGATTGGAAGAGCGTTTTCGGAAAGCCTGGTCGTATGATCGTGTACTCAGTGACAGATCAGGCGGCAGTAGGAGGAGAAGAGAAACAGTGAGGCATTATTTTTGCTTGAGTATGTTGTGCTGTGCTCGTTAGTTCTGAGTTCGGTGGTGCTTTTCTGGAGCTCGAGGTTGTAGTCGGGTCCCGGCCATGATTTGTCTCTCCAATGACTTGCTGGATCAACAGATAACTGCGGACGATTCCTTTCCGTGCCCAGGCATTTTATCTCAGTTCAGGCGTCCTCCAGTGAAAGATACCAGAAAAGTCGATATGTTAGCAACTATTGTGAGAGGTAGACTGCGAGGGACGTTCGATGTAACGGAGCATAGTTGACGATTTCTGGGTAGTCGAAGCACTGATCTCGGGCAAGACGAGACTAACGGAAAATTCTAGCGTCGAAATGCTTAAGCCGCGCCAATGCAACCTCATGAGGCAGTTCTCGGCGCGAAGCTTGATCGTACGTCACGAGCAAGATCCTCAGAGGACGGCTCGCTAACGATATGTAAGTGACGAAAGCTCTGAAGACTGCAAAGGGGTTAATTCCGGAAGAAGTCCGACGCCAAGGCGAGAGTGACCTCCGGGTCAGGGTCTAGAAATCCGACTAGCCGTCAAGACGATGCAACACCGTTCCACTTCGGCACGGGCTAGTGACGTTTCGCAGTCCGTCGCCTCATCTTTAGGTATCGTGAGCCCGGGCGGTGACATGTCCGTTCCGCTTTCGCGTTACGTGAAGCGTTCAACCGGTTACGTGATGCAAAGAGGAAGGAATTCGCGGTCCGCTCCAACTGCCGACTCGAAAGAAGTGAGAAAATTGGAAAGCCAAGGGCCGGTAGAAGAACAGGATGCCAAGGGCGGTACGAAGAAATAGTGCCCGCGTGTCTCTTGCGCCATCATCTCTTGTTCTCGTGGGCATTACCTCCCTGACGGGTTTGATCAGAGTGCACGAATGCTGCCAAGGAGTGTCAAGCTCTTACCTAGTGCGACCTCACCACGAGACATAATTTCGGCCGAGCTCATCAGTGCTCGCTCACCACCCCGGAGCACGAGAAAGAAACGGAAGAAGCAACGACACAGGAGAAGGAGAACGCCGCTGGCCCTCGGGGAAACGAATGCCGAGAGGTGGGCCGGGTGTCAACTTGGGCTTCCGATGCCTTGCCTTACGTTGCCCAACCGAAGTTCCAAGCTCTTTCCAGTCGCCTGCTGAGCGCCGCATCACGAGAGAAGCATTGAGGCTCACCGGCAATGGCGACGGCAGCTAGACTGAAAGCGAGATTGCGGCGTTTCTGTTGGAAGTTGGTCGCGTGGTTCGGAGAGTTGATTCCTTGGCGTGTACGGAAGGCGGTCAAGGCGCGGGCCAACCCCAGAACAGGATTCAGAGCCGCGACCGCTCGCACCACAAAGCTCATTCCCCCAGTCAGTTGCCAGTCCCCACGGGGCGCCCGGCACTTGCCTTTCCCACCAACCGGGGCCATCACCAAGGCGCGCCGAATTTCCCCTTACGACAAAGCTGGAAGAGAAAAAAGCCCGTGAGGCCGCGACAGTGTGACCCCATCGCACGATCGAAGCCGAGACGGAAAATACAAAAGGAATCATACCCCGGTGCGCCAGTGCGCGCCTGCCCCGGCTCCTCCTTTCGCCCTTCGGTATATGCACCCCGGGTTTTTTTCTCGGGTGGCCCAACCCACACTCCAACCTACCGGAGACCCGCCTGTTTAAATACCGTCTGGGGCCCCGTCCCTATGCGCGCGCACGCATGATGGGGAAGCGCAAGCAGCAAGGTATGTCATCTCTCCACTCACCTCATACCACTCACTCCACGCCTCCACGATTTTGTCCCACTCACTCCACGACTCCACGGCTGTGTCCCACTCAATGCAGCCACCCACCCACCTCCCCCCATCCACTCAATTCATTACTGCACCATGACGAAAGACGGAAGATCATGTTTGGAAGCGAAGATTCTCGACTTCTATTCGTAAACTATAAATACAGACACTGACGTGGGAATCATTATACTACTAGAAGGCAATCTCCAAATGCCTCGAGATACTCCAAAAAAGAAATCGGTCTTTTCCCCATAACACCGTCGAAATGCGAGACAACAGGACAAACGTTCTATGTCTATTCGCTCTCTTCTTTTCGTACCGCTTCTCTGCCCAGACCAGCTGAGATCAAACTGTTCAAGACGGAAAGAGCATGGAAACAACAATTCATTCAAGGACAACACGTCCAATCGCTTAGTGGACGGGGTTGGTGAGCGTAGGCTCGACAGACGCACCCTCCTCGTCGCTCGCGGCCTCGTCCTCGCTGATGAGAGCGAGCTTGCTGCGGGCACGCAGCGCGGGGCCGAACTTGAACATGACGAAGGGGATGAAGGTCAGGACGACGGCGACGAGCGAGAGCAGCAGACCGGCCCACTGCGAGCCCATGTTGTGGAAGAACTGCGACGCGAACAGCGGCGACACGGCGCCGAGCGTGTTACGCATCAGACCCTGGCCGGCGATGGCCGAGGACGAGTTCTGGCCGTAGCAGTCGGCCGTGTACGAGTAGCATGACTCGAAGATGAAGAAGATGCCGATGGCGATCAGAGCGAGGGCGATGACGGGGCCGACCCAGATGAGGTAGCCGTACTGGGTGAAGGAGTAGATGAAGAGACCGATGGGGAGCCAGACGGCACCCCAGAGGGCACCGTACAGACGCGCCTCGGGAGAAACGTTGCCGTTCAGCTCGATGGTCATTCTCTCGTACTTGCTGATCTGCAGGAAGTTCAGGCCGAAAGCGATGGTGGTACCAACGCACAGGGAGATGTAAGGAAGACCGGCTGCACACAGGATTAGTAAGAGCTAGGAATTTTGGGAGAACTTGCAAAGAGGTGGACTTACAGATACCCTCACCCCAGCCGTGCTTCTCGGTGAAAGTAATGGGGATGACCGAAAGGAAGAGGAAGGTCAGGAACCAGGCGAAGGCGATCCAGAGACCGAAGGCGAAAACGACGGGCTCGGTGGCAAGCATCTTGACGGCCTTGACCGAGGAGGCGTTGAGCATCTGCTTGATGTTCCTGGCCTCAAGGTCCATCTGGGCCTTGTAGCGCTCGTCACCAGTGGCAGCGCGGAGCGCCTTGGCGCGCTTGTGGAGCGTCACACCACCGCGAGTCTCGCGGAAGAAGACCAGGATGATGATCAGGAGAGGAACACAGGACAGACCCTGGATACCCTCAATCCAGCGCCAGCCAATCGCCTGATCGATGAAACCGGCGTAGATGGGAGCACCGACCGTACCCAGGATGGCAACGTAGGAGAACAGCGACATGGGCCTCGAGCGCTTCTCCGGAGGGTACATGTCGTCGAAGGTACCGCCAACCAGGATAGTACCAACGCAACCGAACAGACCGAGGAAGGCACGCATAACCAAGATGGTGCCAATGTTCTTGCCGAGAGCAAGACCGATGAAGGTAATGCAGAAGCAGAGGTACGCTCCGACGTAGATGACCTTACGACCGACCAACTCGCAGAAAGGAGCCAGGAACATGGGAGCCAAAGCGCAAACGAAGTTGAACAGGAAGAGACCAAGCTGGCCAATTTCCGTCGACACGCCAAACTCGTCGCACATGCTGTTGATACCGGAACTGTATGCGGTGGTGGCGAGACCAATGGTCAGGGTCATCAAGCACAGCAGTGCGGTCGAGAGGTTTTTCCGGGCATTGCTCCAGTTGAAAGGGTTCTCGGCATCGCCCGGGGCGAATCTCAGCAGGATGAAGTCTTCACCCTCGTGGTGGTGGTGGTCGAAGTAGGTGAGCGGCATGTCGATCTCAACCTCGGTCAGCGGACCGTGGGCGGCGCCCTTGTCGGACTCGGCGTGGACAGCCTGGAGGTAGATGCCGCCGGCAACGCATCCCTTGGACTTCTGGACCGGCTTCTCGCCGGCAGTGGACGACTGGGAGGACTCGGGGTTGCTGCCACCCTCCACATGGGCCACATTGTTGTTCTGGTTGTGGGATTTGCGAACCATGGTGAATGTATGTGAAGAGGATCAGATGGAAAGGGACCAGCTACTTCGCAAAAGACCCCATGGGACGAGGATATATAAAGGATGTGCCAAAAAGGAGCAGAGGGCAACGTCCTAGTCGGCCAGACGTCGAGGGCGAGCGTGTCACTCGATGGTCCCCCGATGACGTTGGACTCCATCGGGTCCGAACGAAAGCCAAAGCGATGCTACGACGACCAGCAGGCGTATCCACCGCGGACTCGCATGGTCCAGCTGCGGACCAAACGGCGTGGCGGACCAGGCCAGGATCAGGCGAACAAGCAGTGCAGAAAATCTCCACCGTCGGAGCCAGGATAGTATCGGGGAAACCGAGTTCGGCGAAACTTCAGCAGGCCCTTTCCTCTGGCATTGCCTCGAGTTCTCCAGCATTGCGCCTTCATTTCGACGCGCAGAGCCAAGTCCAGCAGACTGTCTGCTACTACGACGTGGTCCACAGGCATCCCGGCGCGCAACAACAACGCCGGTTACAGGAGGAAGGTGGACCGAGTAGGAAGTCAAATTTGTCAAAAAGTGGGCTCTCAACGGATGCCGGGTCTGCCGCCGCAAAGCCGCCGCGGTTTTGGCGGCGCGAGATCAACAGCCTTACCGATTATGTCAGCCCGACAGCCACTGCCATCCCGGCCGCAAGCCCTGTCGATCGGAAGATCCAAGCAGAAAGAGCCGCTCGCGCATGCCGGCAAACGGAATAAGGGCCAGCCGCAGCCGCTCGGGAGTGCGCGGTTCATTGCGGCCTGGGTGCCGAGTCGGGGGCCTAGCTGGTGATGTCACTGATGGCGAACCGTAAAAAGCGCCGACTGCCCACCTCAACCACCCCAAGAGGCAACGGAGGACGGGTTCGCTCGGAGTGGAAGGCGCTGCAGGCCGTTGGCGTCGGTGGCGCCCAATTGAAGCTGGAGCTGGAGCGTGCAGCGGCTGGCAGATGGTGCTTGGGCAGAGCGTGATGCGGTGGGTCCGTTGGTGGTCGACAAGGGCGTTCCGTCAGCCGTGCCGCTAGCGCTGCGAGCCGCTTGCTTGTGCCAACCGCCCCTGCGACAACACCACGAGCGCCAAACACCTCTACCCGCGACGCTGGGTGCGTATCACGACGCCGTCGTCTGACCGGCGCGGTCGCGTGCCCCTCCTCGTGCTCTGCAACACCACGCCGCGATTGTCGAGGGTGTCGCGTTGCATGGCGTGCCAGCCGCGACGCCGGCTCCACTGATTGCACCACGCCAATGCCGCCTGGCGACGGGCCATTCTCCTATCTGGCCAAGAGTGGAAGCTGAGTGTGGAGGCTCGGCGGTGGACCTTCGTCGCCCCGACCTCACCGCCCACTCGATGCACAGTGCTGTCGGGCCCATTGTGGGCTGATGGGGCTCACCACTCCCAGCGAAGAGGAAATTGTCGAGAGACCCATGGGGCGCCCGCAGCACCTCCTCATTTCCTCCAGCTTCTCTGTCTCCAATCTCCATGAAATCCCCGGTTACGGAGAAGATGGAGTACTCTGGAGAAAAGCACGCCATGGGGCGACACCTGCAGCAGCGCTCGCGTCTCCGCTTCGCACGAGTGCAGAGTCGCCAACTCGGCCGGAGGCAATGCGTCCGACGTTTGTCCAGTTGGTGACGTCACAGGGTCCTGACAAGAATTTTACTCGACACATCAGCGCCTTGCTCATCGCCGCCGTTCATGGCGGATTTCTTGGAGTCGTTCCGACTTGCTCCTCGCCCTGCGCGAGGCTACGGAGCGGATTCACGTCGGAGCGGGTCTTGCTGGCCCCGTCGCCGGTATTGGCGCTCTTGGACGCCTCGGCGGATGCCGCTCTGTCGCAAGGCTCGACTTCGTCATCGATCAAAGCGTCCAGGCTAACCGTCTCAGATACCCATCACTCCCACACCGCCCGTCCTGAGCAGGAGACCGTCAACACACGTGGTTCGATCCTGGGACGTGAATCCCAATCCGTTGTCGCGGAGCTCCTGCGTTGGCCCGGTGAATCATGAGGCCCGTCAAAATTTCCCTGCTTCTCTCCACGCTGGGAAACACGACCGCAAAGTCCCGCATGCGGGCGGAGTCTGGAGAGCGTCGCTAGCCTCCAGTTTCTGGCCCATCCCCATGTTCCCGATATCGCGGCACAGCTGGCACCACGCTGCAGAGGACAGACTTTCGCTCGGCAATCTCGCGTGGAGCAGATTCCTGCTTGGGGCAACTGCTGGAGCCCGCGGCTTTCTTCGCTCTGTCCTACCTCTGGTCACCCTGAACTCGTACGGGCCAAGCACCTTCATTCCCGTCCCACGAAACATGTTGAGCCCCGAAGAGGAAGCTAGCCGACCGCCAAGCACGGTTCAAACACCTGGCCTTCCTTGCGTGCGTGCACCGCTTACCCTAGATCCGTGGCAAACAGTGGTGTTCGGGAATCGCGGCTGACAGGCCGCTTTCTCGTCCCAATTGATGGCCCCTGGAGAAAGTGAGGCTGGGATGCTGCCTGAAGCTCGAAGGATTCGAGCGCGTTTGCCATGCAGCAGCGCTTCTAGCCTCCTGATTCGGTCCACTTTTTCCGTTTCCGCTGCAGGCGCTACTTTGGTCTGGGCACTGATCGCGTAACCGCAGCCGCTGGCCGAACGGTCGAGAATGTAAGTACCTGGTGTTGCTCTGGTGATTCTCCGCAACTCCTTCGATACCCCGGTCTGTTCGCTTTTTCTTCGTGACCGAGCGCCCCTTTGCCTCTCACTCTCCGTCCTCGTCGAGTCCAAAGAATCGCCCCTTCGAAATTCTGGCCAAATCTCTACTGCAGCTCAGCCGCATGGTGGTACCGCATAATGAGGCGAAATCCCACAATTCGAGAAGCGCACTGGAGATGCGGCTGAACGTCCGTCAATATGGGTAGCCACTATACCGCACAGACAGGGCATCAGCTCGGGACCGTGCAAACGGCCGTGCAACTCGTCTCATACAAGAATGAGGCTCCTTAGATTTGACTATAGGTAAGATGTTATGTGAGTAGCTCAAATGAACACATGTTTCGTTTACATCGTTCTGCTTCGCAAGCTCTGTTGTGACTTGTCCTATTGGTGACTGACTTGCTCCTATGCGATCAACTGGAATGCTTCTGAGGCCTCGCTATCTACTTGCTGACGACTACCAATAACTTCAGTAACAAGCGTCTAGGAACTTTTGGGTTGCAACGCCGAATGTCCCGTTTACCGACCGCATGTTTCTCACCGCCGGTGCGACGGGCCATCGACGAGGTCGTCCGGAAGCTACGCGCCGCTGGTCACGAAGTCGTCGAGTGGGCGCCTCCCTCGTATGCCGATATACTCGACTGCTGGGCAAATATCTGGCTGTATGATGGCGGCTGTTATGACGCTGGACATGTCTCGATGCGATGACCTGGCTCTCTGCAGTATCCACACCGTCGCCATCGCGTTGCGACCGCAACCGAGATGTTTCTTGCTAGATTTGCCCATCAATATCAACCCGATCAGTTAACTGCGATCCCTCGTCCTTCGCAAGCGTTCCTCGTTTCTGAATCTGTCGTTTTTGGCGTCTTTTTCGCTTCGTTGCGGTTTCATTTGCCTTTCGAAGCGCCGCAACCTCTGCCTTGAGAAGTTCGTTCTGCGTCGCAATCCGAATCGTCCCTTTCAAGATCTGATCAACCGCGTCTGTGATTAGTGTCGAACTTGAACCTTGATGTGCGAAAGCTGCCGCCTGAGAAAGGTCTTTCTGCCCTCATGCGCCGCTGCTGCTGCCACCTCCGCTCCCTTGCGCCAGACGAGACGAGACTGACACCAGGTGTGACAAGTCAATTCCATGTTCCAGCTGGCGGCGATCGAGAAGAGCGTCAAGGATATTTCCATCTCCCACGACACCACGCCTACGCGCTCGTCGCCTAGAAATGAGCTGCTTATCGTGTCCTCCCACGACTCTCCCTCCATCACTATTGCCGCATATGAAGGTGACACCTCCTTCGGCTCCCAGACGCTGCAGGCTGGCGATGCCGCAGACCGGACCGTCGCATGCGTGCTCGGCAGCAACCCAACCGTTGAGATCCGCAGCGCCCTTTCCTCACTCAAAGATAGTCTTGAATCCCACGGCACGTCCACCCGCGTGAACGAGGCCTATGTCTCCCCATCCGCTCCGCGTCATATCTGACCCTTCCGCCCGTCGATCTTGTAGCTGCCATAGTGCGGAGAATAAAAAGTAAGCTTACGTAGAACTCGGTGACTTGACCGCACTGACAGGTCTCAGCCCATCCTCCTTTATCTCTTGTCATCTACCGCTGGAGTGACTTTCAGCAGCTAGAAGGCCTCTACTATAAAATCTATTTTCCATCCGATTCTATCACGCCCGGATCTCTAGCACTAATGCATGGCATTCTTTTCTTTGCGATAAGAGACTACATAACTGAGAACGACAATAGTTTTTCGGAATGGGACCTGCCTGCTTATACTAGTCTTTGTGGGTCCAACTTTAGTCAGTGCTTAAAGAAAGAACGACCGGGGATTCTTGTGTCCGAGCGACTGGTTGCGGTTAAGTCTATCTGCGCTAAGCAAGTCTTGGCCGCCATCGCACGCGGCCTCCGCGGCTCCCGTGGAATTGTTGTCTGTCCGCCGGGGTATGCCCGGCCGCTGCCTCTTAGAGACACCATAGTATATCGTACAAGCGGAAAGCCCATCCCTTTAATTCTAGACTTTTGAGAGAAACACACTAGGAAAAGCCGAGGTGACTCCTAGTGGTGAACATCATGGTAAGATTTTTCCGCTTTCGTTCACCGATTTCACCATCAACGCAAAGCCCAGTTGGGCACACCCCGAGATGCCGGACAAAGGGGTCGCTAGATATCAAGCATCATGAATAGAAACCACTCTGTATCTGCTTATAGCTGAAATAATTGCTGATGATGCTCCAAGTGGGACAGAGTTGCCCACGGAGGAGCCTCTGCTAGGCATAGGTTTGAGTGGAAACGCTTATTCTTCCCACTTTCGAACTAACATGTCATGGTATTCCTAAAGATGGCACTACGGTGCCGAGATTACGGACTTCTTAGTAGAGAGCCGGCTGAAAATGGTCACCGCTTCAACGGTTTCAGATACCAGCATGCGGCGCTTGCAATACAGCTGGCTTATAAAAGCGCTTCGAAGTCTTCATACTCACTACACAGCACCCAACAATCCACTACCAACATCTCATTTTTCACCACACTGCAAAAACCGAAGTCTTGCATCGAGACTATTCAACATGGGGTTCAAAGTTGTCATCGCTGGAGCCAGCGTTTCGGGCCTCTCGCTAGCCAACATGCTCGAGAAGTTCAACATCGACTATGTCATCCTTGAGGCATATCCGAATGTTGCGCCTCAACTTGGAGCAAGCATAGGGCTACTTCCGAGCGGCCTGCGCATTTTGGACCAGCTAGGTTGCTACGAACGTCTTCGGGAAATGGCCGGAAATTGTTACTACCAAAACGTTCTGCGTCGATTCGACGGCAGGGTGTTGGCGAAGAAAAAGCACATCACCTTCTCGGAACGAATGGAAAACAAGTAAGTGCATGAGCGACGCGTGCACATGAATTTGCATCCATGTTGCACACAGAAAACGCTAACAAGGTTTAAAGAATAGGATATCCTCAGATGTTTATTGATCGGCAGATGCTTCTCCAGGTTCTCTTCGACAACCTCAAGTTCAAAGACAGAATCTTGACACAGAAGCGCGTCACACACGTAGATACAACCGAGGGTTGCGTCCATGTTCAGACTCAGGACGGATGCACGTACAGCGGAGACATTGTTGTAGGTGCGGATGGCATCCACAGCGCGGTGAGGAATGAGATGTGGCGCAATGCCAATGAAGCAGACGCAAATTTGTTTCATTCGGATGAGCTATCGCGTGCGTAACTACCCTGTCAATTTTCGAGAGCTGGGGTTTTAATTTGACTTGTACAGGTCTTCAATCTGATTCGAAGTGTATCTTCGGCATCTCCAAACGGCCCTCGGGGCTGCAAGCTGGACCAATTCAAATCAACGCATTCTTCGATGGCTGGAATTACATGATGCTTTCAGCACCTGAAAATCGGCTGTATTGGTTTCTCTTCAACAAAATGGAGAAGACCAGTGGCAAGGATATCCCTAAATTCACCAAAGAAGACGAAGCTCGTTTGGCAAAACAACATTTTGGCGACTATGTCACCGAAACGACGACCTTTGAGGACATCTACAACAACCGTCTTAACTCCACGCTCGTCGCTCTCGAGGAGCATGTCTTTGCAAGATGGCACTTTGGGAGAATCATTGTGATTGGGGACGCCGCCCACAAGGTACCACAAATCAATGGACTTTGATGAGCTCAAAATACACTAACAGGCTCTCATAGGTCCATCCCATTACCGCTCAAGGAGGCAATGGTGCAATGGAAACTGCAGCAGCTCTTACCAACGCTCTCAGGCGAAAACTGGACCCAGGTTCCATGAATGAACGACTGTCTGAGAAGGATGTTGAAGATGTTTTCGCCGAGGTTCAGGCCAGCCGATTCGATAGCGCAGCGGCTGCTGTCGAACAAGGCCGCAGGAGTAAAGCCATCTCCACCCAGGACAATCTGTTATCACGAATCTTCGTTCATGGCGTGTTGGCCTGGTTCGGCGACCTGCTGATTATGACTCTGGTTCTCCAGGGTTATAAGGGCAGTACCGTTATCGAGGACCTTGAGGTACCCAAAAGACATGTCACACAGACAGGGTCCAAGGAAAACCGGATCTTATGGGGATCTGGAGTTGTTGGAGCGGGACTTCTCGCAGTGCTTCTGTACAGTTTTTCTTAGCAATAGAGTAGTACTACGGGATCTTACCAGGCTCCACCGTCAAATGATGTCAGGAGACCTGAAACGACTAGCGTGGTAACGGAGAATTTCTCCACGATGACAACGGCGAAAACTATGTTTCCGACCGTAAGATGGCGCTGGGACGTCTCTGGAATGGGGGATATGGATTCCCCGTTCTCGGTATTCTATCCCCCTCGAATCAATCGGCCAGTGGCCACCATGCAACAGGTCACCGACACTCGTCCCGCCTAACCCAGCGTTCTACCTTAATGCACTGTCCCTTTGTCACATACACTCATCCACCGTGGTAGCCTACACGCTTAGCGCCAACGTCAAGACCGTCCGATCAAAAAAAAAAAAAAAGAAAAGGCAAGATGGGAAGAGGAGCAAGCCAAAAGCGGTGCCGCCCGTCATACGAGCTTCAATTCCAGATCTCACTTCCATTCTCTCAACGCCATACACACCATGTAATTCCCTACGTCCCAGCCGCACTGCGGGAGAAAATCTCCAGGTCTCGAAATGCTCTGTGGGAGACTCGGCCCGGAAGACCTTTTCGCAAGCGAAGCCGCACTGTCGCAGCCAGCGAGGTCGGACAGGTGTGGCATGATATGCGGACAACGCTCGGAAACGAATTGGCCAGAGTGTACGGCGCCCGACTCCGTTCTGTCTTGGTGGGGGGCGAGGACAGGGGACAAGGTATACCGCAGCTCCGGTCTCTCTCCTTGGGCGTGCATGAACCCTCTTCGATGGGTACTCCACTTCCCCTGCAGTCGTTGACGCCCAACGTGATGATACCGCCAGGCGAACAGTGTTCGTGGAAGAAGAACCCTGGTCCTCCGCTCCCGCGTTAGAAGTGTGGAAGAAAATGCTTTTCGGAAAAAAAGGGGGGTTGGGTGTGTCAACGACCGAGACCACCTACTCCACCATAAGCTGGACAAGACAAGACGACTGACAATGCAGAGTTTACTCAACGCAGCAGCACCGTCTAGTCAAGGGAGGTTACTCAATATTTACAGCTCTCAAGTAGACCCCTCTTCCTCACCCCCTGACTAAATCACTAAATCACCTCGAAACAATCAACCACTCCACCTCATCCCTCCGCAGCTCCGCGCCCGCCACCTCCCCCATAGCCGCGTGCAGCGCGCGCTTCTCCCACGTCCGCAGCCGGCCGTTGCGCCACGCCGCGCAGAAATCCTGGTGGCGCGGCGTTGCGCCGTGCGCGACGAGCAGCCGCACGACGTCGAGCGCGTCGGCGGGCCGCGCGCAGGCTGCTGATAGTGGAGTAAGCGTCGTCGCTTCTTCTGAACCGCCTTCGTTGGGGTCGGCCCCGTGCGCTAGCAACGCCCGCACGACGTCCAGCACGACGGGCGCGGGAGCGGGCGCGGCGCAGGCGGTGGCGAGGAGGCCGGGGACGCGGGTGGGGGAGGCGTTGTGGTGGAGGAGGTGGTGGATGATTTCGACGACGGCTGTGGTGCTCTTTGCGTCTTGTTGCTGTAGGCGGGCTAGGGCGAGTTGGAGCGGGGTCTCACTGCTTCCACGGCGGGTCGAGGTCGACGATGACGTCTGGGCCTCGACGTCGGCGCCGGCGGTGAGGAGGGCGGCTACGGCAGCGGGGGAATTGGCGCTGATGGCGAGGTGGAGGGGGCGGCGCTGGTCGGCGGCCGGAGCGTCGACGGTTGCTGCGGCTCCGCTGCCACTGCCCCTGCTTGGGGCGAGGGCGAGGGTGGCGGCGCGGGAGAGGGGCGATGATACGAGTGGGGAGAGAGGTGATGATGGTGAAGCCGCCGCCGCCGACGACGGCGATGGTGGTGGTGGTCGCGGTGCGAGGAGGGCAGCGATGGCGTCGGCGTGGCCGCGGTGGGCGGCGTGGTGCAGTGGCCGCCACATGTCCTTGCCGGCCGGGGCCTCCGGGTCAGCTTGAGCGCTGAGGAGGAGGTGGATGATGGCGGGGTGACCGTGGTCGGCGGCGTAGTGCAGCGGGCGCAGGCCGTCAGTGTCGGCGGCGTCGACGTAGGCGCGGGCTGCTATCAAGGCCGAGGCGGCTGCCGTGTTGTTGTGCTGCGAGGCCAGGTGGAGGGGCGTCTGTCTCCGCTTGTTGGTGGCATCGACGGTGAGAGGGTCTGCAGCGATGAGAGCACTGATGGCGGTGGCTCCGTCGTCGCTGGCTTCGGGGGAGGGGGAGGCTGCTGCGAGGTGGTGGAGTGGCGTGGCGCTGGCGTCGTCGCGGCAGAGGGGGTCGGCGCCTAGCGAGAGCAGTGCGGCTACGGCTGCGCTCCTGGCGACGTGTAGCGGCGTCTTGCCGTGCTTGGTGCGGGTAGCCACGTGGGCGCCGTGTCGGGCGAGCAGGAGCACGACTTCGGCGTGGCCGTTGGCGGCGGCATGGTGCATTGCTGTGCGCTCCAGCTTGCTGCTCGCCGGGAGGAAAACGCGGCCCTTCTGTTTCTCATCCACGTCCAGTTTGCACCGAGCATTCGCATCAACTGGCGGATTGCCGGTCAGCAGCTTCTCGACTTCCTGGACATCCCCCCTCGACGCGGCCAGGCATAGCTCTCGGGCAGAGTTCGACGACGACGACGAAGAGGACATCGACGAGCGCATCGACCAAGAACTGCGTGATGACAGCGTGCTCCTGCGCCGCGACCACGGTGAACTCCCTGTCGTGCTGCTGTCTGCCGAGCTCTCACTTCCTATCCGGACCTTCTTCTTGCTCTTCTTCGTCCCTTGCTCGCTCTCCTCCGGCCGCTCCGGAGCGCCAGGATCCCGCTGCGTCGTCGGCGACAGCGTCATCATGCGGCGGAAAGCGGCGCGGTACGTTTCAGAATCGATGAGCTCATTGTCGAAGGCGAACGACTCCTCGCTGCGGCCGCCGTCGTCTCTGCTATTGCTGCTTGCGGTTGTGGTCGTGGTGGCCGTGATACTGCTGCTGCCCGAAGACTCCTGGATGCTGCCAGCGCGAGCGCGCCGGCGGGCACCATTGCTGCAGATGGAAGCTTGGTCCCGGGCTTCCTGGAGCGCGCGCCGGCTGGCCGAACTCCCGAGGATGACTTGACGCTGCGTATTGGAGTTTCTGGATGTTAAGGTCAGCCAGCGCCAGGGGGAAGCGGACGTATTACGTACAGCAAGATGACGTTCAGGAAGAGCCCCAGGGCGGCGACCTGGCTGTCGAGAGCGCTCTGGTACTGCAGGAACTGGCCTTCGTCCCAGAGGTAGCGGATACGGCCGCTCAGCCAGCCGCCCTTGACGCTCTTGACGTAGCTCTCGATCTCGCCGACGACGAGGGTGCACGAGCGGATGGCGCCCGCCAGGTCCTCGGCTATCCTCGACACGTCGTGCGTGCGCATCCACAGCTCCAGCTGCGACATGGTCGCCGAGATGGTGTTGAGCCGCGCCACGATCAGGTTGACCTTCTGCTCCATGTTCGACATCTTGCCCACCAGCTCGTTGATCTCGCGCACCGTCCGCACCAGAATCGTCAGGCACGCCCCCGTCAGCGACATTACCGATGCCGGATCCATTTTCTTTGAAGCCTGCTCCTTGCACGTGTATACACCTCTCCGACCTCTTCTTTGGTGAACCCGACCCCACGATGGGGCCTTCCCCCCGGATCCAAGGGGCACCTCCTGTTGGTCCCTCCTTCACTCAACAACACAAGGCTTGCAGATGGATTTAAGCGTATCGGTCTTGTCTAGCCCTATGCTATGATGGCTGTTGGGTAATGCGGCACAGATGCAGGAAGGATTGCAGAAACGGACGTGGCCGCGCTCGGCGTTGACGTGCCCACGCCACAGTCACTCATGGGTCAGCCACTGTTTAGCGTTGATCCGGCAGCGTGATATTGTTGTGAACGTCGATTTTTGGTGCAGTGGTCGCGGGATGGTGGAGATGTCGTTCTGCAGCGGACCGGATACGCAAGCATCGTCGTTCAGCGGCCTTGCGACCGGAGGACCATTAGGTACGAGCGGGGCAGGCCCTTTTTTCTGTTTTGGCCCCCGCCACCCGGCGGGACGATAAAAGGGAAGCGTCCTTGCAGGGATTACGTCTTCCAGCGTCCCACTAGAGGGAATCTGCTCGTTCCGCGCCACGCATACGTGGACACGTGAGCGGCTTGTACTATTTCCGTCTGCTCCTTTGAACGAGGTCTCGGAGGAAATGCCATTTTCTCTCATCGGACTTATCTCCCTCCCCTTCTGCCTTGTCGAAAATCCTGGAAAAGATCACTGGGACTTTTCCTTTCTTTCGAGTCTATCTCTACAACGATGTTCATACATCAAAAATCAAGTGCTTTCCGCCTATCTCTGTTAATAACCCATTTGATCTCTATTACGCCATCTAACCTCATTAAAACAAATACGCCAAGTACTACACACTTGGTCGAATCAAGAAGTCCATCCTGAGACTTTCTGACAGCAACCACGCATCCATATTACATTCCAACTCTATCTATCTCCACCTCTATTGTCTGAAAGCCTCTCACTTCTCGCCACGCTCCGCCGCCCCAGCCCCGTCGTCATCTTCACGCGGCCTGTCAACCAACCTCTGCCGCTTCGGCACACGGAGGAGCCAGTAGACGACAAAAGTAGCGCAAACATTAAACACAACGTACACGAAGACCAGCCCACAGTCCCTCCACCGCTCCTCATACCTAATATCAACGCTATCCATGTACGCATCCACGCTCGCCAGCGGACAGAACCGACACGTGCCCCCCATCTCATCCGGATTCAGCACGCTCCCACCCGCATAGCTCTGATACGCGGCTAGATACTCCGCACAACTGGTGTTTCCCCTCAGGTCTCGCGGCACGACGACCGTCAGCGCCTCAACATCAGCGCATTCAACAACGCCGTTCGCACCGCCGCCTCCCAGCACCGCCGACACCAGCCCGCCGACGACGTACGTCAGCGGCGAGGCGCGGTGCACGAAAAGCCAGAAGCCCGGCAGCGCGGCGGGCGCGACGAGCACGCCGCAGAAGATGAGGACGAGGTAGAAGAGCAGCTGGGCGACGTGGATGGCCGTGGCGGCGTGCTCGATGCCCGCGACGACGAGGTGCGAGAAGGTGCTGCTGAAGAGCATGAAGGCCCAAATCAAAACGAACGTCAGGCCCGCGCGTTCGTTTTCGCCTGCAGCACCACCCGTCAGTGGGAAATACCACGTCAAAAAGACGGTGACGGCGATGAGCGACTGCCAGGGCAGTTCGACGAGCATGTTCGACAAGACGAAGACGGGCCAGCCGTACGTTTTTGATTGGCGCTCGCGGCTCTCGAAGAGGGCGCGGTCGGCGGCGAACTTGGGCATGACGAGCTGCATGATGTTGCTGAACATGGTCAGCACCAGGAAGATGGCGAAGAGCTGGTTCTGCAGGCCCTGGATCGTGTTGGGCGACAGCCAGAAGGAGAAGCCGATGAAGAAGGCCGTCCCCGTGCAGAGGACGAACATGGACCAGAAGTACGACGGCGTGCGCCAGTACTGCTGGAAACAGCGGCGCGCTACGATGGACAGCTGTTCGGAGAAGGGGACGGCGAATTCCCGCAGGCTGGTTTTTGACGCCTCTGGGTTTACTGGAGCATCGGCGTGGCGCGAGGGCAGAGTCTCCTCGTATTCGCGCAGCTGCTTCTTCACGGCCTTGCGTTGGGCTGAATCGCGCCATTTGTCGGCCATGGTCATGGTCGTCGGGTTTGATCTGGTGGCTATCTCGAGCATCCACTCGGCTGGATTGTCTCCCGGCTCGCAGGGTCTGCAGGCGCCGTTGCTTTCGAAGTACTCGATCACGCATCTCGCGCCCTCGCCAATGGGTCCAAAGTAGATGGTCCTCCCTGGCTTAGCCAGGACGAGAAGCTGGTCGAAGGCTTGAAACAAGATTGAGGATGGCTGGTGGATGGTACACAGAATGGCCTGTCCGTGGGAGGCCAACTTGCGGAGCAGCATGCAGATAGACCAGGCTGTTTGGCTATCAAGACCAGATGTCGGCTCGTCGAGAAAGAGTAAAAGCTCTGGCTTGGCTGCCATTTCGACTGCAATCGTGAGGCGCTTCCGTTGCTCTACGTTCAGACCTGAATAATCATGTCAGTAAGCTGGAATGCGTTGCGCAGTCTAGAGTCGTGGACCAACCTTCTCCGGGTACCCCAACGATCGCTTCGGCGTATGCCTCCATTTCCAGGAGCCGGAGTACCTCATCAACGTAAGCCAACTTCTCGTGTTTTGGGACCGAGGCAGGCTGTCTCAGGAGCGCGCTGAAGTTCAGGGCTTCCCGAACAGTTGCCGTCGGCAAATGCAGATCCATCTGTTGAACGTAGCCCGTCTTGCGCTGGAATCCGGTATCCCGCTGGCGGCCGTCGACCATGATCTGGCCGGTGACAACGCCAGCTGAAGCTCTCGAAGCGAGGACGTCCAGCAATGTAGTCTTTCCTGCGCCGGTGGCTCCCATTAGCGCCGTAAGAGTTCCCGGTTTGACCCATCCGTCGACTTCTTGAAGAAGCGTCTTTGTCTCCTTGCCCACTTTGATGTCATAGCTGACGCCACTCCAATGAAAAATGGCCGTCTGCTGTTGAATGTTCGATGTTAAGCCGATTTCGTGTGGTTGGTGGTCTTCTCTTTTCACTGCTGGCACATTCTGCGCTGCGTTCTCTTCGTCGTCTTCAGTTTTAGGCTTAGGTGCATGGCGTCTGCGGAATAGCAGGACCTCTCCTTTGGATCGTTGGGCTTGAATGAATTGGGCAGCCAGCAGATGGATAGTGCAAAAGAAGACCATCATGCCGAACAGAATACCAAGGTTCCTAGACAATCGTAAGTAGTGTGTCGTGTGAAATGATGGGAAAGGGTGTCGCTTACCTCCACTTGTGCGAATGGTAGTACTCGAAATTTTGCTTGATGAATGTGCCCCCATCAACGTAATCCTGGCCGACCACAGAGCCAACAGCGGTGCATGATCGCTCATTTCCGGTTACGGATTGATATGCCGGACCGGCTGGTACGTAGCTTGCGCACTCGAAGCGACGGTCATAGAACTAAAACTCCTGGTCAGCGCTGGAAGCCGTCTCGGATGGGTGGCACATATTTACCTCATTGATCATCAAGCTCTCAAAAACATAGCTGACGGGATTGATATATCCAACCCAGCGCAACCACGGGTGCATGTAACGAGTTGGAATGACATATCCGCAGTAGATCATGTAGTTTGCGAGGAATATGCCGACGGGAGCCATTGTCTGTTCAATAGTGCGAGAGACAGAACCTACCATGCGGAAGAACATAGACATGGTCAAGAGTCCGACGAATGAAAAGAGGTAGAATGTGAAAAATGCACCAGGAGTTCTTCGGAGGTTTGTCATGAAGTAGAGGGTGAGGTTGAAGAAGATTGATGTGAGGATCTTGGCGGGAAGGTCACAGATCATGGACGCCACGGCCTCGACAAACGGATAGTAGAAGGAGAATCTACTTTGCTTTTCAACAATGGGGCGCTGCGCCCACATTTGCAGAACCTGACATTCTGGCTTCAGTACAATTCACGGTGTGGCTTGTAGTGATACTAACCTCAAACGCGCTCATGAATGCATTAAGAAGAGTGGCAAAGAATATCAAAACTCCACGATTGTTGAAGCTGTCCGTCGTTTGGCTCAAGTTGTAGAATATGCTTGAGACTATAACAGCCATGATTACGTTTCCAATGATGCTGGAGAGCGGGACGCTCCAATTGTTGCGTAGTCTTTGGAAGCCGCGGCGGATACAAAGCCTCATTTGCTCGAGTAAGGCCATGTTGTACGGGGAGTGCTGCGGACTATTATTATTCTCAAGTCAGGGTTCCAACCACAAGGAAGAGATGGAAAAGGACGTAACGTACAGTTTTGGAGATTTCTCGTGCTGTCTCATGCGGGAGAAAGCTTCCAGGTGGCGGCCGCCAAGTGGAAACTCGGCTTCGTAGGAGTGAATTTCTTGTAGAAGTTGCGATCGGTCGGCACTGCACAGCCAACGTTCTCTAAATTCGACTGCTGTACGTGGAGCCTGGAGTTTGTACTCGTCCAATACTAGACTTTCAGCCTCAGCTGGGTTGGTCAGGGAGGTAAGAAAGTCAGCGGTTGTTGCTTCGGCGGGGCACCGAAAGCCCAGCTCTTCAAAGTATTGTTTTGCCCGAGAAGTGCTGCCAAAGAAGATCTGATGGCCTTCGTAGAGCACCGTCACTTTGTCGAAAGTGTCGTACATGTGTTGGGATCCCTGGTAAATGCTCATGATTGCGGTAGATCCGGCCGACTTCGTGAAGAGGCGTAGGGTGCGAATAAGCTCAAGAGCAGTGGCACTATCCAAGCCTCTTGTGCTGTTGTCCCAGCATTGAAGGGGGCTCCAACCGATCAGAGCCTCGGCGATGCTGACTCTTTTGCGCTCTCCACCGCTGACGCCGCGGATGAATTCATTGCCCAGCTTGGTGTTGACGGCCGACTGCAGTCCCAGCAACGCAACGACTACGTTTTTCATGTACTCGGCATAGGCATCACGCGTCATGCCTGGCAATGAGGGCTGGGGTGCTTTTGCATAAGCAGCAAAACCGAGAGTTTCACCGACCGTCAATTCGGGGAAATGCACGTCATTCTCGGCAGTGTATGTACACTCGCCGCGAAACTGCGTGTGTAGAAGATGCGGAGGGATTCCTGGGTCAGTGTCAGAAAATAATGGGCACGTCAAAAGGGAGGGAAAAAACACCTACCGTGATAGTTGAGAGTGGCAGTAGGGCTCACGGTAATGCCATGAGTGTCGCCAGCCAGGGTTTTCAGCAGCGTCGAGCAGCCGCTGCCAGGGCGGCCGAGCACCAGCAACATCTCTCCGCTTCGCACCAAACCATCCATGCCTTTCAGGATATCTACGCGGGCACTGCGGCGAAGGGCAGAGCGCGAAACCCATAGCGGAAAATTTCCCACGGTCCTTTGGTACTCGGCGGCATCATGGACGCCATGGACGTCGAGGTCACGGAAAGAAACGCTCAATTGCTTCGGGGGAAGATGGCGACGGGCCCTGACGGCTTCAAACCAGGCAGAAGCACTGAAGCGATCGGAGAGAGGATTGAGAGACGGATCTTGTTCGTCCAACAGCAAAGCCATGATGCTCGTGCAGACAGTGATGGTGGGCCATGATTGTACAGCGGAACAGCAGCGACACAGGTAAGGGGGCAGCAAGGGACCGGAGCAACGGGTGCGGCGCAGGCAAAGGTAGGGCAAGGCAAACGGAATAGTCTCGTTGCTGCCTGGGGGCCAAATAAGGCGACAGACAAGGAAGCAGCAGGAGCATCTGCATCCGGGAGATCGGCCCCGGCGCAGTGACAGTCGAGTCAGGCACGAGGTCACAAGCCAATCATGTATGTCCGATCTAAGCTAAGCTATCCTATCTAGCGCCCTGCCGCCGCCCCGGGCCGCCGCTTGATTCGAAAAGGCAACGGTCCCCGTGGCCGTTGCGTACCCAGACCAAACTCGCGCCACTGCATCTCCCGCGCCGCCCTGTCGGCCGTCACCTCGATATCGAAATATGTCGCCAACAGCGCCAACGTCGTCATGATCTCACGCTTTGCAAAGTGGCGCCCGGGGCACATGCGTGCGCCCCCACCGTACGGGAACCACATCTCGGCCATGTTCTCGAGCGAGAAGACGGGCCGCTCATCCTTGGTGGACACACTGACGCCCGAGTCGCGACGCTTAGGGCCCGCAGCGGAGCGCTTCCGCGGGCCGCTGTGCGGATCGCCTGGGGAGACGAGAAACCGGTCGGGCCAGAACTCGTCCAGCGGCCGCGTTGTATTCCACGCCGTCTCATCCATGTGCGCCGGCGTCGAGCACACCAGCACCGTGCTGCGGCGCGGGATTTCCCAATTGCCCAGCTGGAGGTCGTCGCGCTGGGCGTAGCGGGTGATGTAGACGTGCACGCGGAGCCGCAGCGTCTCAGCATACACGGCCTGCATGACGGGCTGCTGGAGCAGCTTGCCCACGTCAACGACGCCATCATTTCCCGCCCCCACGCACTCCCCGGCCTCGCGCCGCACCCGCTCGAGCAGCCCCGCGTCGTCAAACACGTCCAGCACCGCCCACATGCTTGCCAGCACCGCGTTCGTGTTGAATCTGCGAGTCACACACCATCAGCAATCATCCAAACCGAGTCAGTGCCGCCGCCGCCCCCAAACTTACCCCCAGATCGAAGCCAGATCCTCGCTCGCCAGCGCGTCGTCGTCGTAATCGTCGACTTTTGCCAGCACCTGTCTCCGCTCGCGGAAGAACTTGCTGCCCCAGAACGGGTCCTCTTCGCCCTCGGGCACCACTCCACTGCGCCGCGTCTGCTCCGCTGCGTGCTGATGCCACCGCTTGACGCAGTCCAGCAGCTGGTCTCTTACCGCGTACCCGCGCCGCATCAAGAAGCGCGGGATGCCCTTGGAGAACCACGCCACCCACTCGTTGTACTCCCAGAAGAGCCGCGGGAACTCCGGGTTCACCTGCAGCATCGCCGGCGAGCACATGGCGTCCAGGTTGGCCGGCAGCAGCAGCTCTTTGGTGAGGAAATCAACCAGGTCGTCCATCTCAACCCATTCGTCCTCGCCGACGGGCAGCGCGTCGAGCCGCTGCACGAGCCGCTTCTGGAACCGCTCGAACAGCGGCGCCAGCCCGTTGCCCTCGAGGAACCGGTGCAGCGCCTTGTGCGTATTGTGGTCGACGCGGTTGTGCGGCGCGATGGTGCTGTCTGGGAATGGCTGCGGCCCGGCGCCCGAGTCGTCCAGCGCGTAGCGGCGAGCTGCTGCTTTGTGCATGCCGAACATGTAGCGCAGCACGAACGAGAAGATGGCTGTTGATGACGAGCAGGTTGACTGCCGCCACAGCTGCTTGATGTCCTGCGTCCCGCGCACGAGGATCACCTCTGTCGTGAACAGCTTGATGCGCAGAGGGCTGAGCTCTGGGTTGCAGTTGGCTCTGTCCGTTCATTAGTAGGTGCGCCGTGTGTAGGTGCTGCTGGAGATATACGTACCCCGCTGTGGTTACAAAACGAAGAGGATCCAAGACGTAGGAGACTACGCTCCCGAGCAGCGGAACCATGTACGGCAATGACGGCGGCTTCTTTCCTGCAGCTGTGCTGCGGACTGCTGTGAAGAAGAGAATCCATGCGATGGAGTAATTGACTATGAAGGGAGTTACGAAAAGGATGAACAGGACCAGCATCTCTCTCAGGGTTTGTATTTGAAAAAAGGAATCCATTTTCGAGTAGTATGGTCTCAGTGGCAGTCTTTCCACTCACACCGCGGCACTCTAAATAGTCATCCGCCACGAGGCTGACGCCCCCGTCTGCTGTCGACTTACACTCCCATCAGTCGATATTCCTTACTACCTCGCCACTTCGCATCTCCTCGGTTGTTTTTTGGGGGCTGCATATTTTCTCTGGATACCGACGCCTCACTGCAACCGTCAGGGTTGACGATGGACTCTGCTGCCTGCGCCTCAGCTGAGCGGCCACCGGAATGTTGGAAGACAGCTCCGCACTGAGCCCTTGTGAAGTCGGAGCGGGTCAGTTTTAGGCAACTGTGTGAAGGGCGCGTCAGGAAGGTTACTTTTGGCTCCGAAACGTGCATAATCGGCTTGCTTTCGTCAAGGCCATTGGATCGTGCTCCATGAGATCCACCGGCGTGCGCAGTTAGTCGCTGGAGACCTGGCTCAGTCATCACTTACAGGGGGGTTACGCGTCCGATGGGTACTGCGAAGTTGCTTCTTCATGGGAAACCTGAATCTTGGCCCCATGATACTACTAAAATCAGTATGAACAACCCGTTTGGCCTATCGCACCCCCAGAAAAATCTAGGCCCTTCCCTTTGCCACAGTTTTCGCGCTAGTTTTCCGATGCAAGAGGGAGCTGGAACTCATGCAAACCCCTGTCCAGCCCGCCATCGAATTTCTGTATCTGTTCCGCGCACATCGGCAGAACGAGTTAAGAGTCGGCTGATATACCCGATACGGCTTCTTCTATCAGCCAGTCTATAAATAATAGCCGCTTGACCAGGCAGCCTCGCGTTTGTGGCGTTCCGTTTGGAAACAGAATAGACTAATTTTTTTACAGCGTGGTCGACGGTCTGTAAGAACCTGGCTCGGGCCATCTGCTGGACTCTGACCCCGTCGCACCACCAGCTCAGTATGGACTCGTCAAATGGCTTCCTCACAGGTGCTGCAAGAGAGAACGCAATCAATCATGCCGGCAACATTGACAGACTCGCGTTCCAAGTAAGTTCCTCCGTTCTGGCACGCGACCAATCGTTAATGGCGGGGACTCGCTGTAGGTGAACATAGGCGTGTTTACAGGCCTCGCCATCCTCACCGTCATCGTCCGCTTCGTCATCAGGCTGCACAAGCTCCGAGCTCTGTACCTCGATGACTACCTTCTCATATTCGGCGCGGCGTGCCTCGTCGTCGCCCTCGCCATGCTCTACTGGTACGGCCGGGATCTGTTCCTGGTCGAGGCCCTGAACATGATGCCGACGAAGGTGACGCTGGCGTCACTGGACGAGCTGAATTCGCTGTTCGAAACCAACAAGATCATCCAAGTCTTCCTCGCCATGATCTGGACGTCGACGTTCGCCGTCAAGTTCTCGTTCCTCGCTTTCTTCAAGACGCTCGTCTGGACCAAGCTGTCGCGGCGCATGGCGTGGTATTTCTGGTTCGTCGTCGTCTTGACGGCGCTGTCGTGGGGGTTCGTCGTCTCTGAGGGCTTCATCCTTTGCCCTTACTTCGGAACCGAGGCTGGTACGTAGGAACACCGTCGCGTTCAAACACTATGCCGGCAGGAGAAACTGACTCTCAATCGCCAGTCAAATGCTTCCCGAACACTCCGCACGTCGAGAACATAGCTCTGACCGCTCTCGTCACGGTGCTCGACATTGTCACAGATATCTTGGGTGAGATGCTCGCTTGCCCACTACAAGCAAAAGGCTCAACGCTGACCGTTCTCGTCTACAGTCGTGTCGTTCCCGATCATCATCCTCCACCGAGCGAACATGAACCTGTCACAAAAGGTGGGGCTCGGCGTGTTCCTGTCGCTGTCGCTGGTCATGGCCATCATCGCCATCGTCCGGATGGTCGGGAGCATCCGCCCCGGGCTGAAGAGCCTGGACGTGTCCTGGGAGCTCTTCTGGCAGCAGATGGAGGGCTGCATCGCCATCATGATGGGCTCCATGTCGGCCTTCCGCACCGTCTTCAGCGGGAGGGGCCCCGTCCGTGCGAGGAACGTCGTGGCCGATGGTGGGGGACTCTCGCCGCAGGATAGTGAGAAAGGGTCGTCGTCGCTCTCGCGAGTGCGCCAGTTGTTCGCGCAAAAGGGGCAGAAGCGAGTGTCTGAGGGAAGCAGTGGCGAACAGTCTCCGGCGTGATTGTACACAGTGTTGTATTCGTACTGGGAAGAATGGGCATGAGGCGTTTGGGTGCCCTGATTGAGCGAGGGGGAAGAAGTTGGAGTCATTTCTCATCAACCATGAAAGCTTTCACAGTGAATTCCGTGCGCAAACTATGCTGTGACCCCAGTTTTGGAAAAGGTAAAAGACGTAAGCAACCCAACTTACCCTCTTTTCACTAAGTCAAGCCTCGCAAGATTCGTAGTGCACGCGGATAACCTCTCTTACTGCCCCATTGCTGCCTCTCCTGACCCTCATTTTTAGATACAAGAAGGGTTGTAGCCGATACGAGTTATTTAAGGATAACCCCGCTATACCGTACGAAGGTTGAAGATAATCTAGTAGATTGGAAGCCAGCAAAGTTGGTAGTAAATCGGGCAGTTTACCCTTTAGGCAATTGCTATCGGTGGCTATGCAAGGCTCAATCCTACAACCCTTTCAAATTTGCAGAGGGCTAGAATAACACGGGCGCAGAAAGAAATAGAAACACGCTAAACACCGGCCCTGTGAACCGAAACCGAGGTCGCATATGGAGTTGTGTAGACCAATGTATCTACTTCGGTGATGGTTACGAAAGCCGGACGCATGTACCGATACTCTCGCCGCAGAAAGGCGTTGGTGCCTAAATTCGCTGCATGAATGGTACAAAAATCAAGTGAGTGGGACTTCGGAACGCTAAAGATAGAAGATATTGGAAATAGGAATCATGATAGCTGCTACGATGCATGCGACCCGTTCATCGACAGGGGTTCGGTGGGGGCCAAGAGCGGGGCGGTACAGTGCCGCAGCTAAGGTGCAGCCGCCGGGGGAGTAGCTTGTCCATTGTACCGGGAATGCGGCGTAAATGTCTCAGCATCAGGCAACAAACGCGAGATTGTCCTCTCCAGCTCACAAAAAACTTCGTCGTCTTCTCGCTTTCACTCTCAACGCTACTCTTCCCCCACGCATTCCACCATGGACGAAGCAGCCCCCGCGGCACCCGCCCGCTATGCCGTCACCATGTTTGTTGCCCTCGCGGGCGGCATCATCTATATTCTCATGAAGGCCTACCGCGCTCGCAAAATCGTCAATGACTTGCGCAAGCAGGGTTATGTACTATATCTCCCACTGCCTGATAGAATTGAGCACTAACGCCACACAGGCAATGCCCAAGTTCAATTGGATTACGGGACACATGCTCGCAATCAAGCCGTTTGTTGATAAGCTACCGCCGGATGCAATTACAAATTATATCATGACAACCATGGCTTTCGCAATGAAGAAGAACGCATTCTACCTGGACTTTTGGCCGCTCAGCGACCCGATTCTCGTCGTGACGAGCCCGCAGCTTGCCTCACAATTGACGCAGGAGTTCAACCCCCTAAAACCAGGCAACATCAACTCGGCCTTTGCTCACCTCTGTGGAGGGCCGAATCTCTTCACCATGCCCGATGGGCCATGGAAAAGGTGGAGGGCCATCTTCAATCCCGGGTTCAGCCCGACGTACATGCTGGATCAGACGCCGAAGATTGTCGACCAATGCCGTATTTTCTGCGACAAGATGCGTCAGCGGGTTCGCGCAGGCGAGATGTTCCCGCTGGAGGAAGATACACTGCGTCTGACGCTAGACGTAATCGGCATTGTCTCCATGTGAGAATCCCAATCATTGCGCCCTGTTCGACTCGACTGACTTCCGACTCAGGGACACGGATTTCAACTACCAGCACGGAGACTCCGACATACCCAAGAGCCTCCGAGGCCTGATCGAGTGGGTGTCCTTCGGCACGGAGATGAACCCATTCAACCGCTGGACGCCACGACGCCCCTTCATGATATCGTACTACGGCCGCAAAGTCGACAAGTTCATCGACAAAGAGCTCCAAAAGCGCTACGCCGAGCGCAAGACCTCCCTCGAAGAAGAAGACCAGAAGCAACAACAGCCGCGATCCAAAAAGGCCAAATCCATCGTCGCCCTCGCCCTCGACGCCTACGCCGCCGAGACCCAGAGCGACGCGCTCGACAGCACCTTCCTCCACTACGCGCGCTCGCAGATCCGCCTCTTCCTCTTCGCCGGCCACGACACGACGTCCAGCGCCATGATCTACGTCTTCCACTACCTGTCGCTCCACCCGCCTTGCCTCGCCCGCCTGCGCGCCGAGCACGACGCCGTCCTAGGCGCGGACCCCTCCGCCGCCGGCGCCGTGCTATCAGCGCAACCCACGCTGCTCAACCAGCTGCCCTACACGACCGCCTGCATCCGCGAAGCCCTGCGCCTCTTCCCGCCTGCGTCGTCGCTGCGCGTCGGCGGGGTGAATACGGTGCTGGTGGATGAGGACGGCACGCGCTACCCGACGGCCGGCTGCAACGTGTGGGCGCTGCACCTGGCCCTGCAGCGCAACCCGGCCGTGTGGGGCGCCACGGCCGACCAGTTCCTGCCGGAGCGTTGGCTGGCGGGGCCAGACGACCCGCTGCACCCGCCGAAGGGCGCGTGGCGGCCGTTTGAGTTCGGGCCGCGGAATTGCATCGGGCAGACGCTGGCGATGAGCGAGATGAAGATCGTGCTGGCGATGACGGCGAGGGAGTTTGAGTTTAGGGACGCGTATGAGGAGTGGGATCGGCTGCATCCGTCGAAGCATATTAAGACGGCGTTGGGGGATCGCGCGTATCAGGTTGAGGGCGGGGGCGGTGGGTCGCATGCTGCGAATAGGTATCCGTGTAGAGTGTACTTCGCTGGTGAGAGGCGTTAGACGGGGGTGTTAGATATTGGCTTTAGACTATCTTCCCATAGTGAAATCGAATCTGTTAATTTGCAGCTCGCCGTTGCCGAAGGTGAGATCCGGTTCCTCTTTGTGGAGCTGTGGTAGCGTCAGCAAGGCATTTGACAAGAACACTTCGAGATTGTGAATTATCCGGACAATATTTACTGGAAAACGCCATGCGTGAGGCACCTATCTTGGCTATATTCTCGGCACCGTAGCTGGGAAGTGAGTTCTGTCAGCCGGTAATACCAGCTGTGGGCTAGGTGCCTGAGGGATATAAATCAAGAAGTCAGCCTCTCCTTTTGCCCACAGTGGCAGAGTGGTAACTACTCCAGTTACCATCAAAAGAACATGCTAACTTCACTTGTGCGAGGTCAAAAAAAAAGAAAGGTTATAAGATTGAGCGTAAAAAGTAAAAGAAATCCTTGCCAGCTCCCTATGGACGGGGTCAGACTTGGGGGGTTTTCTCCTGTAGCAAGCCACTCACAAGGCGAGCAAAAGCAGGTTTTTTGCCTTTTTTTTCCCTTGATCTGAGTGAGGTTCGAATAGGTAAGGGTGATAGGGTGGTTGGTGGTGAATAAAGTGAAAAACATTGCACGTGACATCTATCTCAGGATAATGGATTGTTACCTTTTGCTCTTTATGTCCCTTTCTTTAGCAAATGCCTTGACTACCGGGACTCTAGGGACAAATGAGGAATTTGCTAATGTTCAATACCCGACGTGGAGGCTGAAGTGCCCGTTATCTAAGGTAGGAACGGGACGTCGATATTCTCTTTGAGTATCGGGAAGGCGTATGTATCTGCTTAAAACCAGAATCACCTCTACTCCATCTTATTGTCAGTTATCCGGAAGAGTATTCTAACGCAACTTGCATCAATAAGCGTCTGGAGAGGGCCGTTAAAATCGTGGTTGTAGGTACTTTTTCTCATAATCGATACCTACTTTTTCATTCTGCTCCCTACGGTCGTAAGGTCCATCATGCCCCTTCGTCTTCGGTGCGGATCCCTGATGACGGCGGTGGCATCCCTGAACCGCGTGCAAAGTGGCACGTCGTCAGGGATCTCTAGAATGCAGGTGCGGGCTTGCGCAGCAGGCGACTGCTTGTTGACTAGAGGTCATAACTGTTGTTAACAACTTGTTCTTTCACGTACGACCATAGGTCGCAGAATGCAGGGCTTCCCGTCCGCTCAGCCGTACTTAAGCTGCGAACCGGCCGATTAGTACTCAAGTGGGTGACCATTGGGGAATCCCGGCTGTTGTACGTTTTGCATTTTTTTGCTCGCCAACTTTTCTTTTGCTTACAGTCCAGTAGCTTCATTGAATTGGAGACAATATGTTGCGGTAGGCAAGAGTTGTCTGTTGACGGGAAGCTTCGAGGCATGATTTTCCCTCACTTTAGAGGTGATTTTTCGAGCGGCTCATGATGCATGGGGTCTAACAGATCTACCACAGCGTGCCGGAGCACCACTTCTACAAGAATCCTGGTAAATGACGGAAAGTCAAATATTCCGCTACGTCGGCTACGTGGTCTCCCCATAATTCAACATACCGTCGCTCAGTTGATCCAGGAGCCATGGTACGCGCGCTTTTTCGAAATCCAATTGGGGACTGGGTAGAAATGAAAGTTGTGTTCTCAGTGGCGTGTTACTCTTTGGCTTGATTTGGGAAAGAAGTGTGATGAAGTCTATGCTGTTTGATGAAGTCAATCAACTCAACGTGCGGATCCACCCCTTTGCCGGGCTTGTAGGAACGGTCCTGCCAACGGATAAAAAAAAAAAAGACAAATCCCAGCAGTAAGTGTACTTCTCAGCCGTGTTCATCAATTCGCTAGTACGCTCTTCGTACCCGCTTCGCAAGATATCAAAATGCGAGTGTAAAGTTCCACAAAAAGCCCCGAGTGCTCATAGAGAACGTCACCTAAACAAATCGGCCGCCGTCAACCATGTGCACAGCGCCGGTAGTGAAACTTGATTCCTTGCTGAGGAGGTGTATGACCAGTGGCACAATCTCTTCCGTCCTTCCCAGCCTCTGGAGTGTCGTGTCCTGCACCTCGGGCGATTGCTCTATGAGCGACAGATCCGCCACCGACTCCAGCATCGGCGTGACGATATGGCCTCTGCAACAGTTTCAACATCAGCTCACGCTCAGACACACAAGATGTGCCCGATTCCCACCCAAGGCCAACCCTCCATGAAGAAAAACGAAGGGGAAAAGTAGAACGGCACAGAGAGACGACCGAAAGAAAGAGAGCAAGAAAAGAAAACAACCACTCACGGACAAACCACATTAACCCTTATCGGACCCCCCTCCCTCCTCCCCAACTCCCTCGCCGCGCTCCTACTCAACCCCACAACGCCGTGCTTACTCGCCGTATACGCCTCGCGCATCGCCACCCCCACAACCCCCTGAATGCTACTGCAATTCACAATCGCGCCGCCCTCCGCCGCGAACGCCCGCACCTCCGCACGCATGCACTTCATGACGCCCGTCAAATTAACCCCCAAGACATACTCCCAATCCTCATCCCCGATCTCGCCCATGCCGCGCGTGTTCATCTCGGCGCCCGTCACGCCCGCAAAATTCGCGGCGCCGTGAATCTTGCCATCACCCGGCAACTCCTCGACCGTCGCGGCCATCCACGCGTCGACATCGGCGGTGCTGCGCACGTCGACGCGGCGGATGAGAAACTTGGTGTGCGCGTGGCCGGCGGTGCGGGCGGCCGCGACGACCGCCGCCAGCGCGGCGTCCAGCTTGGCCTGGTCCGCGACGTCGGCGAGCGAGACGTTGGCGCCCAGCTGCGCCAGGCGGATGGCGATGGCGAGGCCGATGCCCGAGGCGGCGCCGGTCACGGCGAGGGTTTTGTTGGCGAGGTCGGCCATTGTGGGGAGGAGTTTTCTTTTTCTTTTTTTCTTTTTTTTGGGGTTGTTGTTGTTCCTGTGCTCTTTTTCGCTCCCTTGCTTCCTTGCTCTTTTTTCCTTTCCTCGGTGATTCCTGTTTAGCGCCGGAGGGAGGATACGCGGGGGCGCTAGTTTGAAGTCTGCGTCGGGGAAAGCAGTGACCAATTCGGAAGAAAAGCGAATCGAGATACGGAGATGAAAGAAAAGCTTAAGAGTCCTCGGAAGGAGATGAGGAGAGCTAAGAAGAAGCGGAAAGACGAGCTAACGGGTGGTAAGTGCCATCTATAAACATGGAGCACGTTGCTTTCAAACACCTAATTACACCGACGAAGAAGCGGGGGTGTCGAAACGTCACCGAAAGCTCCTGTGTGACGATAAAGAAATTGAGGTCCCACACTTTCAGTATCTCTGCCCTACCAGAAGTCCTTGTTAAGGACCGAAGACGGAGAAGCTTAGCGGATGTGGCCCTGCTGCATCGTTCACACGGGCACTCCCGCATTAGAAGTTCCTCGGTATGCGGCACGAGGTCGGTAGTACGCGGCATCGGCTCTTCCCAATGGCTGCAGATTTTGGACGTGCCTTGCCGAAGACCGGCTAAACGCTTCGTTATGGTCTAGCGGCCGACGACGTGCAGACTGCTCAAGCTCGTTTTCAAGACTCTGCAATCGGAAGAGGGTGGTCTCGGTTGAGGGTTTTCTTTTGAGCAAGAGGTCCGATACATATATTGATAGCATGCTGATTCGCTGCTGCGGTTGTCCGAATTCAGGCTCCCGCGATTGCCGAGCCGTGGAGACTATGCAGGAACGGCGGGGTATATCGAATGATGAATGGGACCACGTGGCTTCGGATCTATGATCTCCAAGATCCAGCTCAGATCCCATCTCAGATTGTGTAATGTACACAGGTAGCAATCCGTAGACGCTTCGATTTCACGCACCATCTTGGCCCAAAGCTTGCAAAAGTCCTCGCTTCGTAGAAAAGATCCCCCGGCGCCATGTTCGAGGACGTCCGTATCCATTGCTCTGACATATGCTACATAAGGGGTATGAGAAAATCCATCGATCATAAATGCAGAAAACCAAAAGCCACTAAAACCGGTCTTTTCGACACCATAGTCATGAGGAAGAATCCAGCATCCAAAACGGCCTCTTCGTCTTTCAAAATTCGTAACAGCGAAGTAGAAGAGGTATCGAAACACAAGGCAAAAGTGGGAGTGAGCGCCATTCCGCTTGGTGTTTGTTATTCGTTGGGGGATTAGACGCCGCGGAACTAATTTGCAATTAGCCAGATGCCCATGAGAAAGCAGCCGTTGTAGAAGACTTACCATGCGAACAATCAGGAACCAGATGGCGCCCGTAAATCTAAATGCACTGAGACCAGCCACACTCCAGAGAACCACACTCATGTAGATCTTAGCACGTTGAGACTTCGCTTGTGAGACCTCATCGTCTCCAATTGAGACGTCAACACCTGCAGCAACCAGCACAACGGCGCACAGCGCCAGGTTGCAGAACATCCAGAAGAGCACGACCGAAGAACGGAAACCCTTGTAGTAGTCTTCCTGCTTGTCTTCCGCAGAGGGATCCTTCTTTGGCTCGACGTACTTGGTAGCAAAGACGCGGAGCTCCGACTCGTACTGAGTGTTCAAATCAGCATCGTCGGTGGGTGCAGAGACATCGACCTTGCCACCAGGCTTCGTCGTGACTGAAGGCAGCTTCTCGGGCTTCACGTCACCCTTGGTACCCCACGTGATATCGTGCGTGTTACAGAAAGCGTACACGTTCAGGATGTTGATGTACGTCGGCGTCAGCAGGAGGTACTGAATGAACGACGTAAACATGTGCCAAGGATCCAGGAACAGGAATGAGGCAACGAAGTACAGCAGGTACGTCGACGCCATCGAGACGATGAGCGTGAAGAAGAGGGTGTTCTGGAACAAGTCCGAGACCGAGAAGCCATCCGCGAGCTCCGCCTTGACGGAAATGACGGTAATATAAATGGATGCGAACATCAGGTAGGCCATGATGAGCACCCAGAAATACACCATCGTCATGTAGAACTTGTTCGAACCTTGGGGCCGGTTACCGAGAGCCAGGACGAAACAAGTAATGACCGTTGCGATGTATGCCCATTCGAAGACTGTTGCGAGAATGTTGCCAACCGTGCCCAGGAACTCATCGTTACCAAGCGACGACGTGAGAATGCGGAAGACCAGGAAGAAGTTACCGAGAGCGAACCAGGCGAAGATCATGTTGATGGACTGGTAGGTAAACTCAACCAAGAACATCAGCTTGCGGATGAACGAATGGTCGCTCCTGAAGATTTGATGCGAGTGTGCAAGAGCGTAGACAGCAGCGAAGAAACTACCGTTGAGCCAACGACGACGCTGGAGAATGAAGTCGGCCATCTCGACCGGAACGTCAGTCTCACCGGTGGCCGACTTGACATACTGCAGGATCCAATGGCAGTTGCGCTTCGCTACAAGCTCGAAACACAAAATACGATCTTCGGCAAGGTACATGTTGGCCGTGAAAATACCGGCGTTGGCACCGTGCATCTTCTCACCAGCGAAGTACTTCTCCAGGGGGCCCTGGCCGGTCTTGTCGTTCTGCAGCGCAACAAAGCGGTATGCAGAGAAGGCACCGGGAAGAACCGAAATGAAACCGAAGGCGGATTCCAGAGGCTTGTCCAGGATGTTACTCATCTTGTACTCGAAATTCTGCGTCGCAACCAGGGGGTTGAGCAGCTTCCTGCCGCCGACCAACATGGCCTTGATCTCACCGCAAGCGCCAGCGCACATTGGCTCGAGATCGAAGGCCTTCCAAAGCTGGTAAATCGAGTCCTTTCCGGGCTTCGTTCCGGCGTCAATGAGGACGCAAATGTTGGGGTCGAGCACAGTGCCGAAGGCCTGGAAGAACCATCTGTGCGAGTTGATCTTCTTCTGGTTCTTTTCCTTGAGACAGAAGAGCATCTGAATGGGCACAGTGCCCTTCTTGATCTGCACGACGTTCTTCTTGATTTCCAGGCTCATTTGAGACGTGTACTGCCAACTGTCAGCGTAAATCCAAAGTTTTTGCTCTCGGCAACACCAACCTCGTAAACGTGAGCCGTCACCTCCTTGCCGTTGACCTGCTGCTTTGCAATGCCGTCCTGGTAAACACCCAAACCGGCCAACACAGCTCTTGTTCTCGGGTTGATTTTACCACGGCCGTCGCTGACGACGCACACTACGATCTTCTTCCACGCATCCTTGCCCCAGGTCTTGCTGTTGTTCCGCGAGCACATGTACTCGATGTTCTTGATCACACCAATCATGGTACGCGCAAAAAGCTCGTCCTCCTCGTTGTACATGGTGACGGCAATGAACAGCTCGGTATGGCGGGGCTTTGCGAACAAGCGCTGGCGCAGAGTAAAGCGATCATTGTAGAAATCGGCGGGATCGCAAGTAGCAGCCGAATATCTCATGTGCGTGAACTCGTCGCGCTCAGGCGGCTGAGCGTGAGGAACCTGATTGAGAAGTCGGGGTGGAATGGGGCAGTCGAGGACGAGGTTGCCGTTGAACAGCTGCACCTCCTTGACCGTCTTCCACCGCCTGATTGGCGCAGGGCTCGGCGTGGGCTTCGGCGCATCGAAGTACTCTCCCGGCTCATTGCTGGGGCTTATGGGATGCACGGGATCGGGCCCGTAAGCGCCTTCGGCTTGGAGCATGGGGCGGCTGTCTCCCTCGTCCTGCCAGTACTGCTGGTGTTCCTCGTGCGGCGAGGGGTGGTAGGGCTCGTTGTAGTATGCGTCGTGATGCGCGTTCGGGTCGAGGGCATAAGCATCGTGGTAACCTCCCGGGGAGTACTGGTGCTTTGCCTCGTACTGCTCGTTGTGGCCGTACGTGTTCTGGATGTTCTCAACCGAATACTGCGCAGGCAATGCATTAGCACACAAGTGTCCGTCGCCATTGCGCGAATTGTTCACCAACCGTAGGCTGTGCCTCCAAGCGGTCGCCTGGCGTGCCAGGACCGGGACCGGGTCCCATAGGAATCTCCAAAGGAGCGCCAGAACTGCCATAGGGACGGTCTTCGAGCTGGTAGCCGTGGAAAGGATTGCCAGGCGACGGCGTCCGCTGGGGCTGAGGTCTCCGGGGGTCCATGGTGTTGTTGTTGTTGTAAGGGTATTCGTCGTCGTCGTGGACGTTGCCCGTCGAGCCTGCGCGGGTTGGCGGTCAGTCCAGCTGAGATAGGCGCTTTGGCGGTGGAGCGGGCGCTGGCCCAGGAGTCGCTCCTCGCAGTGATGGTGGTGCAGCACCAAGCGTGTGAGGCCAAGAGCTCAGGAATGCTGGAGAGAAGGCTGGGTTTGGAGTAACCGCCTGGGGCAGGATATGCCACTGGGGCGGGTAGGGCAGTCTGCAATCGGCATCGACTTACCGAGACGATTGTAGGACATAACGACGGACGGCCGCGATACTTCTGGCCTGATCTGTTGCTGGCTCTGGCGGCGGACGCGGAAATGAGGGCAGGAGGCCGATGCCTGTTTGGGAGGGGCCCCTCGTTGTTGCGAGTGGGCGTAGGGTTTATCAAAATCTCGTCGATTGTTTCAGGTCGCGTCGTGGAGCGCGGAGAAGCGCCGCGACTGGCGGGTAACGACTGTCGAAGACGCGCGCGGCAGAGGGGGTTTTTTGGAGCTGGGGAACGGCGGGCGCGCAGCTGAGCGGACGGATGTTATGTTTTCACTGCAAGTGCGGCTTGAAGGATGAGCTGCTGCGGCTTCGTCGCAACCTGGGGGGGCGCACGCACTGGTTGGCTCACGCACTGGCTCACAGCCCTCTCCAGGTCTCTCCCGGGCAACCGCCCCAACTGGCGGGAACATCCTGGATTAATGAGGTCATCTCAACAACACCTTAACCTCAGACACGATCGTCCTGAGTATTTGCGCGTCCATGCAATGCCTGCATGCTCACTCCCCGCGACGCGCAACTCAATGTGTGTCTTGCATCCCTGGTCCGCCAGGTAGCGTCGCTTTGCTCAGCTTGGCGCCACCAATCACCGCCCGCTCTTCGCGCAAGCTCAGTGTGGCATTGCTGCGGACCGCAACACCGCCTTGCTGCTGACGAGGCCCGGTAACTTCCCACGTTCCTCAGAGCGCGCCGTCCGTATCGTCACGAGATCCACAGGGTCTGTCAGGCAAAGAACACAGCCATCATCTCCACTGTGGCGGCTGTGGCGCACTGTAGCTTGGCATCAAGATGCGGTGTATCAACGTGCGCAGCATGTCAAGCTTCTGGAAGCGATGCACGCCGTTCCACGGTTCTGCCGCAACTTTGTTGCTTCTAAAGAAAGACCGTCGGCCTGCCACCTCCCGACATGCAATCAGCTGCTGACGTGATGCCACTCTCCAATACATGCACGGCCATAACGCTGGCCGATATGCCGGCTAGCTCTTCCACTCCACTGTCTTCGCTTCGACACCCCTTTTGCCTCAGTCCTCGCCAAGGGCACTGAGGCAAAATGCATCCGTGTTGAGACCCCGATCGTCTCAATGCAACGTGCCGGCGATTTTGCCTGCCTACGTCAACGCTCGTCGGTCTGCCCGAGTCACCAGTGGCCACGGGAAATTTTCCATTGGCTAAACCACCTTCAAGAGCAAACAGCTTGTCCTTGGCACGATGCCGTGCATCGAGACACTGTAATCTGACGAACGGCACCGGTATTGATTGTCTGCATAAGGTGATGCGGAAGAGCGCGACTTTTGCACATAATTGCTGCTCAGAAAGGCGTTCTGTTACACGGCATCCTCGCAAGCTTTATTCGTGTGAACATTCTTGTGTCCGCCAAACATACTCAATACGAGTTGTGTGATACTGCGCGAATACGTAAAGTCACGAGCCAGTGAAGTGCAACGGCATGCTCCGCCGTACATATTCCGGCCACCATCCGACGTAGGTCTGCTAGCGTTGAAGATTACTCTAATTTACCATGGCCAGATTGCAAGTGGAGCGATCGCACTTGAAGGTATAGATCGACTGAATAAGCTCGCCCCTGTAGCAGCATTCCTCAGAGTCGCTGATCCCGTAATGTAGTCAGCTATCCGCCGACTCAGCCGCAGGCGCCATCCATACGAACGCCAAAAACATATTGATCCTAGGAACCAAGAATGCAGCAGGGCCGAACCTGTTGTGGATGCTGAGCGGTAGGAAAATCCTGGATTCAGGCGTAATCAAAATGTGGAATAAGCCGCTAACTACTGGATGCTTTAGGGCTCTCCACTTACGCGATCTCACCCAAGAGGCCAGCACAGGAGGATGCTCGGCAGAGAAAATGGAATACATAGGAAAGAAAGGAAATGGTAGATTGAATAATCTCGCATATCCCTCTTTCAGCTCACAGGAAACCGACAAGTGGTGTATTCTTTCTGTGATCGTTTTAGTCATCCTAGTTCTCTTCATTGCTGGTTTCTATTGAGCCCACGGATAGGGCTTGCAGAGGATACTCACTGTGCGAGTGGCAAATTGGAGATTGTATTCAGACATGTTAGCACAATTTCTTCATCCCACTTCCACATCTGGACAGCATCTTCGGGTGTCTATGCTGATGTTTTTGATATTGGCCAAGTCTATTTTCTGTGCATCTCTATTCATGTGCTTGAATTCTATCCGGGTATCATCGCATCGCCGATGGGGCGATGTGTCTTGGCAGGGTCTCTAGCCTCTACCAGAGTATTCGAACCACAGCCGCTCAAGCACTCTCAGCTTCAAGGTGCTTCAACAGGCCCTCCGAGAACCTCACCGCCTGCTTGTATGCCGTCTCAAATCCGTTCCTGCCGCCGTAGTACGGGTCATCCACGACCTCGCCCTTCCTGCCTCCGAAATCTCCGAATAGCATGACCTTGCCCAGCCTAGCGATCTTCTCCTCCTGGCCCTCCGCCCTCAACTTCTTCTCGTGGTTGTTCCGCAGGCGCAGCAGGTCGCTCAGGTTCTCGCGGTCCATAGCCAGGATGTAGTCGAAGCGATGGAAGTCGTCCGGGTACGAGAACTTGCGCGCGCAGTGGTCGTAGTCGGTAATGCCGTGGTCCTCGAGCGTCGACATGGTGCGCGAGTCCGGTCCGTCACCGACGTGATAGGCGCCAGTTCCGCAGCTGTCAACCTCGCCGACGAGCGGGTGAGGTGAGGCTGACTTGGCGAGGTGACGGAAGACACCCTCGGACATAGTGGAGCGGCCTGAGCGAGAATTCCATGGTTAGAGACATTGCGATGCAGCGAATAGGACAAGACGGGGTACAGGAGGATGTACAGATGTTGCCCAGGCAAACGAACAGAATGTTGGCCTTGCCGTCGGCACCCATGGTTGCGTGAAGTCTCGAAAATCGGGTTAATCGAAGAAAACGAGAGAGGGCTTCGGCGATGGTCTATGAAGCTGGCTTGGTGCGAAGTGCGTCTTGAGCAGTGGGGATGAGGAAAGTGGTGATCTGGCTGAGAAACTTTGGTCGGTGTTGAGCCCGGAGCAGCAATCGATAAGGCGCCGGCGCCACAGAGGGTCTGTGTCTATCTAGTGGCCGACAGGCTTGGCCCACGCATTCTGACCATCGGCCTAATGAATGCTGTGCAATGCGAAGGGAATGTGGAAGTAGAACCCCACGTGTCTCTCGAAAGCTAAACACATGGTACAGGAATGTTCGTTGGCGGCGCAGAGACCAATTGGATGTCGCGGCAAGCTCTTTCGTATCGCGCTCGCCGATTACCCGGTCGCCCCAGCCAGCCTTGTCGCTCGGCACGTTGCAGTAGGGGCAGATGGCATGCGCGATGTTCCTCAAACCGCCCGCTCGATGGCAGGGCGGCTTATGGCACACTAGGGACAGTCACAGTAGTGAACGCCTAGTGGTTGGAGGAAAACAAGCTTTCGAGAGGCCATCGACGTACTGCCGTGCATGTCTCACACGTCACTGACGCACGGCCTCCCGCAGCTTCCCCAGCTCTCCCCGACGTGCCTGGCGCGCTCTTCTACAGACTCGCACCCAGTCGCGCTGCTCAGCCTTTCCTCTCCACAGCTTCAGCCTACCATATTCTTAGTCGCAAATTGCCAATTCTCCCGTCACCAGCCTCCAATTTCCCTGACCGCGGCTGTTCGCCATGGATTGCATTCCTCTTCCCATTGTCTGTTTCCAGTGCGGAACGTACGTCTCCTGCCCTAAACCAGCCTCTTGAGGAAAATTGCCGGCGCCGCGATGAATGCTGACTATGCTCCTCAGCGACCAGAATCCCTGCCACTGCAAAGTTGTCGGACCGACCATCGGGTTTGGCGTCGCTGTCGTCATGGCTGTCGTCTGCTGGCCCGCGTCCATCCTCTGTGGCTGCTGTTTGACCGACGCCGGCAAGAAGTGAGCACCTGTTGTCGCAAGCGCTGCGGGGCCTAGGCTGATAAGGAGACCTTATATAGGATGCTCGCCGCACCGGCTGATACAAGTGGCGCCGTCAGCAACGCGATACCCATATAATGACGTGACGGCCGGAAGAATCCAGGTAGAGCGGGGTCGGTAATGGAATCCTTGGGACTGTTCATACTTTCTTGGCGCTGGACGGAGGCTTTGCTGGAGTTGGTGCACAATCGGCCGGTGGTCGGTATATCTTATCAGGCTGTCTCGACGACGCCGCTTTCAATTCCATCCTTTTTCGCATCCTCTGCGAGCCCGCCCTGCGCCCTCGACCCTGATTGGACAGATAGAGATCGGCGCGTCTTGCCCATTCCGAATACGACTCCCGCTCTGTGCCAATGAGGCTCGTCAAGCGAAGACTTAGGCGGTGGTCCCGGGTACATGCGGCAGAAGTCAGGCAACCTAGCGTTCCGTGAGAGCAATCCGAGACGTCGTCCCGACCGGGGACTTTGATCAGGCACTTGGCTAGTGCCGAGTGAAAAGGAGCAACGTTCGCCGGTGTCACCTGGCGTGATTGCCGTTCTGGGCTGCCAAGCCGAGGTGAGATGTCGACGACGCCTTCCGCTCCGACACACGACTGGGATCTTCCACCGTAATCATCTCCGACCCCTTTCCTCTCCACCGATCAGACTGTGCGGCGTGACCGCCGCCTCTGCCGCCCCACTGACACGATTGGCCTCTTCCAAAGTCCCACGGAGTTCGGCACCCGCGCGTCAGCATCCGAACACGTGCACCTGCAGCTTTCCGCTGCATCATCGCCAAGCCACACAACATATTGTATGGAAACAGTCTCCACTTGTCTGTTGAATCGGGACTATCCGAACCTTACCGCTTTTGCGCACTCGATGTTGTTGGATCCAACCCAAAGGTGCGTGTCCGCGCTAATTGAAGCTTCCAATGCCATCAAGAAGCGCCCAAAACAATCCCATAGCACCTCCGATGCCCTGTTCCGTTTGACGTACCGCGTGGTTCATACGCGTTCCCTCGTCACGCCAAAACCATCAAGTCATGCTCCTATACAACTGGCACTGCTTTGATAGCTAAAATCGTCAAGGTTTCTTTCATGCAGATTGTGTTCGCAGCCAATGATTCCCGTAGCTGACAATCTTGCAGTTCTAGTCAAGCACGAGTTTATCAGCACCTTTTGTCAACCGCTACCTGATTCGGGTTGTTCCAGAATCTTCTGGGGAGTCTTTGTCTACTCGCTCCGTTAATCGCTGATATCGCCGTATGGTGACCTGGCCCCCGGAATTTCGCATCATCACGAGCCTTTTCTTGGCATCAGATTCACGAGTTCGACAAACAATTGTGGTCTCCCTAATTGACTACCTGCTCACGGGGTCTCAGGCTCAAACTCGTGGCTTCGTGATTGCAGTTCCCTGCAAATCACATGCCACATTAACAAATAGACTATTCGGTTGGGGCAATCTCCAAACTCTTCACTCTCCATCAGATATTCTGTCAAAGCGTCACAGACAAGAACAACCATGTCGAACCCTTTGAGCTGGACGCCAAGCCGGAACCAAGATCTATCATACGAAGACGGATTGGCTCTTATCGACGACTTCTACGAGAACTCCAACCGCGACGCTCCACCAGCAACGACGATGCCGCCGCCGATCTCTCCGCTAGATGCTGACTCCATCAAAACGACCGGATGTGCCCGAGCCACAGATGAGGACAGGTCTGCTGCTGTCATTTCCCAGCTACCTCATTCTCCCGTTGACCGCTATACACCTAACGCACACCCACCTCTACCCTCCTCTCCACCTCAGCCGGATCAACCTGAATGGCAGTCGCACTGGAATTTCTTGCCTCCAGCTTTCACAAGCTCCCCGAATGTTACAAATGCACCACCTCCTACACCTACAACCGGCTTCACGATTTCCACGCAGTCCGCTCCCATCCCGGTTGCATCACATATCAAGTCAAGCCCCTCGCCACAACCGTCAAGAGGCACCTCTCCAAACACCTTCGTACGGGAGGACAATTCATCTACACTCACCACGTCCAAGGCTGGCTCTCCCTCTCTAGCTACCTCAAAGAACACCTCGCCCGATCTCCCGGCCCAGAAGATTGACTCACCAATCTCAACCGCTACCCCGGTCGTGCGGAAAACTCCCATTCCTCTTCCTCCTATGCCTTCCATGGAGACCAAAGCTCCCACTCTAGTTCCTTTGCTCAGCGCTCGCACATCTTCAGTGGCAAAAGAGAACAAGGCACCGAGCAACAAGGCCTTGAAGAAGACGGCAACGGACAGCCCAAGCAGCGCATCGGCCACTCCACGGACGGTCAAAAAGCAGCGCTGCGTGCGCTGCGTCAAGCAGCACGGCGCGTGTGACCTCGACACGAAGCACCCATGCTCACGCTGCGCGAAGGCGAACGTGGCGCCGGAGGAGTGCGTGCCGAGGGAGTACGGCAAACGGCGTCAATCTCAACCTGCAGCATAAGTACGGGATTGCATCAAGTTGACTAAAAGAGAGTCATGGGATGAAGGCTTGGGCTGAGGCAGGAGCGGCCCAGATGTAAAATCCGAGGAAAGGAGTGGGGGGGCGATGGGCCATAAGAATGGACGGGTAGTTTCCTCATGGCTGTCTTAAAAGCATTGGCGTTCACAGGGTATGGGAGCTCTAGTCATAGACAGATCTTTTTTTTTTCTTTCTATTTCGGAGGCGTGACTTTGGGCTTCTGAACATAGCTTTCTTTTCTTTGGCCTTGTCATGCATTGTTTCCTTTTTTTTTCCTTAATCCCTTTTCTTCCTCTCTCAAATGGCTTCAGAATTTTCGGTGTAGCATTGGTACGGCATCTTAGCCTTTGCATAGATATCTTTTACGATACCCACAAAAAAACAAACTTCCTCTTCTCCCCCCAAAATAACGCCCGATATGAATTTTTGTCTCTCTGTTTCTGAAGAGTGGTCGTGGAGCCAGTCAATGGTTGCAGCTGTTGTAGTCTCATGACGTGGTATCCCTTGTGACTGGGTCAGTGCAAAGGCCGTTCTTTCTTCCTTAAATAGTGAATCAAATGGTTACAGCAAATTCTTGAATGGGAATCTCTCGAACAGCATCTCTCGAATGAGCATCATAGAAGGGCAGACTTGGGGCTTCTTGTTGGATAGCCACTTTTTGCGAGTGACCGTAAGGCACTATGCTTATTCGTGTACGGACCACATACAAAGTTTCCACCTAGATCATGACGATGCACTTCAGCATTGTACTATGATTCTGTTCGCCACCACAGCAAAGCTGTCACTCATCATTGTATAGATTTAGCAGAAGCCACTGGATTAGTCAAGAATTAAGACAGCCAGAGCCGAGTGTGTCGTTTCCGCTCTCAGTGAGGGAGACTGGGGAGTGGAAACGGCGCAAGAGGATGCAGAGGAGGAAGGGGGCAAGTACGAGGCCGAAGCGGACATGGGCCGG